GGAAACCTCCAAATTTGAAAAAGCTACCAGACGGGTGCCTGGGGGGCTCAGTGGGTTAAGTGTCTGCCTTTGGCTCAGGTCATGATCCCAGGGTCCTAGGATCGAGTCCCACATTGGGCTCCCTGCTCAGCAGGGGGTCTGCTTTTCCCTCTGCCTCTCCCTCCACTCATTCTCTCACTTTCTCATTCTCTTTCAAATAAAAAAGAAATAAAATCTTAAAAAAAAAAAAAAAGTTACCAGGCCATTTGGGTGTAGACATGATGGTGGGAAAGGCTGGAGGGGTGCAAGGAGGATATGGGAACTCTGTACTTTCTGCTCAATTGTTCAGTTTTTGAAGTTAAAATTGCTCTAAAAATAAAGTTTATTTAAAAAGTTATCAAGAAGAACATCTACAGTAGGTCAGATATGATTATCAATTATTGTCAACGCTGCATTGTTAACAAAGGATACAATATGATTTATAAGGTAATAAGTAGAGCAATGAATAATATACATCTAATTTTTTATATACAATCAACATGTTCTGATCAACAGTGTAAACCACAGAAAAGAGAGTCTTGCTTTTCATCTGTACAAATATTGCTTTCATCACAGCAAAACTTTACAATGTTAAGACGTACCATACATAGAAGCTATCAAGCTCTTGCTTGCTCATTTCAAAAATGAAGTTACTGCTGTCTGTTGTTAGCCTGTTTACATGGTCACCTCTGATTATCAGCCATCAGATCTGTAGGATCTCTTCATTTCCAAAAGATGGTGTTATACACTGTAAGGTTATTTTGTAGCCAAATCAGGTCAAAAGGGTTGAAGAAATAATAAATGCACCTATTTTCCTTGCAGTTTTATCTGCTAGGTGATAGGTGGGGATTTGTGGCACTTCTGTGGGCAAATCCAACAGGACAGACCTGTGACCTCGGAGGTCACACCGTGATTGTACAGTTAAACATGGGAGAGAAAATAGTACAAATCACTTCGGGTATCTTCCCAGATAAAATTTATGAGGGAAATAGAAAAGTGTTTCTTAAAGCAAGAATCCTTTTCTCGGACTCCTGTTTATAAAAGCCATCCTACTGCTTATACAATCATTCTAATGTCTCCCCTTTGTAATGTAACTGATGTCTCAGGGTCTCCTCTGGCTCTGGGAAAGAAAGGTCACCAGGTGACCATGTCTCCACTCCTGGGAGCCAACCCCAGGTACCTGCACCAGCAGAATTTGCTGCAAGCCCAGCCACCCTAGGCTGGTGGTTCTTAGCCATGGCTGTGCACGAGAATGACCTCTAGGAGCTTTCCAGAGCAGAAATGCCTGGATTTCACCCATAAAGATTTGCATTTAATGAGTCAGAGGTCCAGCGGGGCCTCACTGGTTTCAGAAGCTCCCCGGGGGATTTCACTGTGCAGCCAGGGCTGAGAACACCCTTTCTGGGCTTGGAGAAGGGGGGCGGTGGGGGGAGCATCATGCACGGGCCTGGGAAACGTGGGCTTCATCAACATACTGAGTTACCAAGTTACCAAAACATGCTGACCGTGATTAGGGCTCTGCAGGCATTTCTAGTCTATTGGTAAATGCATAGCAACTGTAAATATAAAAATAATTTGTATCAAAGTCAGATTAGTATATATAAGCCAGCAAAGTGCTATATTATTGCTTTTCTTTACACTGACAGGATCTGTGTTCACAGTGAGACATTCTTTCCCTCCAACACGGCTGCCGACTTGACAGAACCCGCTTCAGAGCAAGACTGAGGCCACGTCACGTGTGCTTTTTACCTTCTCTCGTTTCACAAATACAAAAAGTGCTCTTCTCTTCTTTATTAGGACCATGACCCAGCTTGGCTCTACGATGAGGCTGTGCCCTTTTTATAAGACAGACAGACTTCCCCTGCTTGGATTAAATCCCTTTAAACAAAGATTTCAGTTTTGAATTTTGATTCTATTTGTCTTTCGAACCTTTCGTAGAAAAATGAGTTTTCCTAAAAACATACAAAGTTCAGTGCTACATGAGAGGATAATCGTCCTCAAAAAAGTTACAAAAATAGATTACCTTTTAAAAATCCTATCTGAACGCGTCTTTCGTAGTACAAAAAGGTATGCCCGATGGGGCAAGGATTTCTTTTCGGTAAGGTTTTACAGCCCTAGGCAAGGACATACAAACAGATCATTATGTTGTAATAAAAACGTGTACTTATCAAAAGAAAGGAATGCAAAGTAGACCTTAAGGGCAATTTCACCAGCTGTCACTTCCAGCAAGCCCCTCGTTCATTTTCTAACTTCTTAGGAAATCCACACCGTTTCAGGGCCCTATCAAGGCTCAGGTTTCATACTTGCCACTTACAGGATAAGCTGCTGGGGACAAAGAATTAGAGGCTTTGGAATAGTCAGTAGTAGCCAAGTCTCAGGAATACTAAGGACAGCTCATTGTTCTGTCCTTGCGCCGCCTCCTCTGGGAACCTTTACCTGACTCAGGCTTCTCCGTCCTCGCCAGCTGGGGGGCCCGCTGGGATGCCTGCGGGTCACCTCAGAGATGCGGGTTTCAACTCTGTTTGCCCACTAGGATCACACGGGAAGCCCCTATGTCTGATTGTATTGGTCTGGGGAGACTGGGCCCCCCCCCTTTTTTTTTCTTTTTTAAAAATTTGATTGTGTTATGTTAGTCACCATAAAACGCATCATTAGTTTTTGATGCACTGTTCCAAGATTCATTGTTTATGGCAGCCCCTTCTTTTTAAGGTTGGCAGAGAGGACGAGAACTGTGAGTCGCCATAATCCAACGGCTTCACCTCTGCTTGAGGAACCCGAGGTCCGGTGACTGTGACAGGTGAGTGAGATGCCATCAGCCGAGGGACAGGTCTCCACCCACCCACTGGCCTTTCCTTTTCACCAGTGGTTCCCCAAACTTTGGAGCTCATCACAATAACCTGGGGAAGTTCTGAAAGGCCGCTGGGCCCAGGCTGCACAGGAGGAAAATCAAATCAGAATCTTTGAGGTCGGACCCTGGGAGATCCCGGAGAGCAGCCAAGCTCGAGAGCCAGTTCATTTATGTCTGCAGTTGGGGGGTGGGGGGCTAAAGCCCCAAATGAAGAACTTGCAACTTGTCATCAAACGATGTCCCCACAGTGCTCCTCGTTACGATAAAATCAGCGACAACTGGGACTCAGCACATCTAGAAGTTGGAAGATTCATCTTTTTTACTTCATGAGGTGACAGAAGTGTTACTTATAGGGCATGAGTGCAGGGACTCCTGAGTTTATAGGAGAGGTGTCAGGACGTGGGCCCACTGTCAGCGTCACCTGAACTGTCTCCAAAGGCCAGATCTCAGGCGGGGCCATGGGCTGACTGAGGAAGGAACGGACTCTTTGTAGGGTCTTAGGACCTGGGCTCAATAAGGAGGAACGGAAGAGATGTGGTATAAACTTTGAACTCTGGCCAAGCAGGGCCATGAGGTGGAAACACTGGGGCTCTGGGGGGCCCTCCTCTCCTTGTCCGCCCATAGTGATGGTGGGGGTCCCTGACTGGTGGGCTCTGCTGTCTCGGGCTGTGAGGCATCTGCAAGCCCCCCTGCACAACCATGGGGAGGCTATCGTGGGAAACACAGTTTTCAAATTGAGGATTTAGCACCTAGATTTTATGCAGGAAAACTGAAATACAAAGGAGAAAAAGCTTGAATAGTTTTTGCTGTTTTATTATGTTATAGTAAAATATTGCAAATTACAAAAATACTAGGATTTAACTGCTACAGTCGGACTGACATACAGTTGCTCTTCCTCACCAATCACTTGCTTCTTGATGAAAAAGTGGTAATAAAATGTGCATCAGTCTCTTTCCCAGGGCCAAAGAAGATTCTGGCTAAAATATTTATGTTCTAAGGCAAATAAGTAACAAAAGTGATTTACTGACAATGGCATAAAATTCGAGAGTCTTAGAAATGTTTAATCTTTTCAAGAATCATTTTCAGATCCCCAGGGAGGGACCCCCCCCCATGTGGGGTGTTGGGGGAATGCCACAAGCTAGTTCCCAGGCTTACAGGGACAGCTTGTTAAGATGCACGAATGTGGCCTTTCTCCTACTTTTTTAGCAATTTCTCTGGCAGATGCTTTCTTGGTCAAGGTTTCGTCTGTCGGGAGCGCACTTCCATTTCCCTCATGGCTAAGACCCTGGTCATATTTTGGCCCAACTCCACCACTCCCTCCCTGACGAGCCTTCCAAGGCCCTCCCAAGGCAGGACGCACTCTTCCCTGCCCTGTGCTGAGTGTGCTTGGCTGACACGTCTTGCCTACCCTCTGTTGTACTGTGTTGTGTTTGAGTTAAGTCAATTCCCTTTGCTAAATTGTGAATTTCTTGGAATCAGGGATAATGTTTTATTTATTTTTAGGTCTTCAGAGTCTATGCTGGGCTGGTAGAGGTGCTTAAGAGTATCTGAAAACACAGAGGAACTGAACTAAATAGAGTTTATATTTCCATCGGAACAAAGTCAATATATTGGTAACAAAACTGTAGGGCCGATCCAAGAGTCGATACTTTAACAGCGAAAGGGAAATCTTGTACGTGTGTAGGTCTGAACACATCCATAGGTCAGAAATACGGTCTGAAACATCTTTTCCGTGAAAGACTAAGAGGGTTTAACACCTGTGTACAAAGGACTGCCATGAACAAGTCAGGCTGCGAGGACATGGGAGGTGGAAAAGCACTCCGGGTCCTAAATTAGCTGGATCCTCCAATGCTAGGGAAACTTTTAGGAGGGAATTTGTTTTCTTTCAAAAAACGATCTGTAGATATTGTTAAGGCATTGTCATGGATTTCAAGCTCTGATTTAATATTTACCGCTTTAATTCCCCCGATGCATAGTGTTAACTTTATTTCACCCTGTGAAATGTGCCCCTAGGAGCGAGGGCTGTCAGTTCCTGCTTGGTGGCCCCGGAGCCTGGATCCCTTCATTTTGGGGCCTTGGGGACAGCCTACCAGAGAAGTGGGGGGGAAGTACCCTTTGAGTAAAAAAAAACTTCTATAGTAAAATAAAAAGGAAATTGTCTCCCATAAGCCTAATTTGGTAGTGGTGGGGGGGTGGTGGGGTGGGAGGCTCCATGAGTTTGAGAAGGAGCGTCTCATTTCTGCAGTGTCCGGACAGATGCCCATTCATTCCCCAACCCCCAGAGGACTTGACGTATTTCCTCTGAGACTCAAATTTGGGAGCCACGTTCTCGTGTGAACTTTTGCATTATCGTTCCAACATGATTAAAGGCTACCGGATTGAACACTGATCAAACGTGAGCTGGTCCAGGTTCTAGTGTGATGTACCGTCTCCTCTCACCAACAGGGAACTCCTACCGAGCTTCCAAACAGTGGAATGGAAAAGAAACAAGTAAGTCCAATACTTATAGCTAGAAAACGCTGGTCAACCAAGGGAGAGTAAGTACCATGAAGACATTTATATAAAAAGAAGTCCGAAGAAGAATTCTACCCCTTCCGTTTCTTTTGCATTCGGGAAGGGTTCAAAGTGGCTTATCCTCTTGAACGTGCTATGATTTGCTACAGTATCAACCAGTCTCGCTTACGACACAGAGTACTTCCTAGTTTTTTAAAAAAATTGTCTTGCAGTGGAAGAATCTTGGAGCTAGAGTCAGTGGAATCAGTGTTAGCTGGAAGGCTCTGACCCTTGCTTCTTGGTCACAGTTGGGCCTGGATCAACTCAGTGCAGCCAGTACTATGAGCAAGAAGCTCCTTCCTCGTTGGAAACGCCCAGGAGAAATAAAATCAATAATGACAATTAAAAACCCCCAGGGCCCCCAAGCAATAAAACTCCTTATGCAGATTTTTTTTCTTTTCTTTTTCTTTCTTTTTTTTTTTTTTAATCAAATATACCTCACTGAAAGGCGAACTTCTGCCCAAAGAGAATATTCCTGCCGGATGCCTTTTAGTGGCGGTCTCACAGTTTGAAGACAAAGGAACTTCCCAGCAACTTCCCAAAGTGCATCCGAGGAGGGGGCACTTCCTGGGTGAAAGATGGGTCCTTAGGAGCAAATATGGCCAAACCGGTCCACGGGCCCAGGAGTCAACGAGGGCGGGACTGTCAGCACTGGAGTTGATGCTGTGGCTTGGTCCCAGGGCGGGTGACACATCCGAGACTCTTATGGCCAATGCTATCGTCAGTGGTCATGCTCCAATAAACTCCCTGCTCGGCGGGGCTACCCGCAGGTAGTCCGCGTTTTCGGCCGCAGGGCCCTTGAAGACGCCGTTGGACTTGGCTTCCTTGGGAAAGAAGTGCTGCTGGTAGTCGGGGTTGTCCAGGCTGACCTGGGGGTTGCCTTTCTGGGCCCAGAGGCCGGGGCCACCGAGTGCGCTGCTGATGCAGGGAGGGATGGTGTTGAGATACTCAGGGTTGTCCACGGCGTTGCTGTGGGGGTTTTGGTAGTGAGCGTCTCTGCCAGGAGCGGGGTTTAGAGGCTGATTGTGATAGACAGGATTCTGCACGGAACCTGCCGGCCTCTTGGGGACGGACTGGTTTATGTATTCTGAAATGGAAAAGAAATCACAGGTGAAGTGATCGGCCAAGCACCAGCCTCAGCGGACTCCATGGTGCATCTGAACCCCGCTAGTTTTCTCCCACAAGACCACAGAGCGTCGGGCGTCTGGCAAGACGACAAGCTCACTGGTGCTGCAAGGGAAACCGTGTTCTTGTCTCTAGTTCTCAAAGCAATGGGCACATCGGTCTCTTGCCAATTTAACGTTCTCAGAAGGATACCCTGCCTTGAGATGCATGTGTGCCCACGGGAACATCAGGGATAAAGCTGAGACTAGGCACATGCATGTGTCACAGGCCAAGAGTGGAACCAGGGTCAGATGTGTCACATGCACGCGTACACAGACACACTCCTCCACACATGCTCACACACTCACGGACACACAATCATACCCACACACTCCTGCTCTCACACACACACACACACACATCTTTGATGTTTGCTTCAAATTCTAGAAAATCTGCGAACTGGTCCTAAAACCACACCTCCCAGCTGGACGCCACTTGAGTCCAACACAAAGACCCGAGCGCGTGCGTCGTTTTGTGTTTCTCTGCCTCTTCCTCCCCACAGGTGTCTGCAAGCTTGCCACAGTCTCCACTTCTGGACTGGCTTGAGGAAGCAAGCGGCCTGAGCCCAGGGGATGGAGGCTGGCCCTGCTAGATGCGGGGGCCAAGGTGGGTGACCTTCCTTGTCCAGGGTAAGCCACTCACCGGGTGCTGGGAGAAAAGTGTCATCTATGTTGTCCTCAGTCAAAGTGCCAGTGGGGTCTGAGCTGTACCGCTGCAGGAAGCTGTCTTCTTTGAGGGGACAGCTCTGAGGGGAGGAAATAAGGCAAGGTCACTCCAGTCAGTGCTGCTCAATGCGTATAAAAATCACCTGAGCTTCTGTTGAACTGCAGCTTCTGATTCAGTGTGGTCCAAGAAAGTGCCTGGGAGTCTGCATTTCCGACTAGCCCCCAGGGGACGCCCATGCAGGGGGACGCCCATGCCGGGGGCCCACAGACCACAGGTCGAGTGGCAAGGACCTGGTCGGTGCTGTGCAGTAGGGTTTCTGGCAATGACAGAAATGTTCTATGATCTGTGCCCTCCCAGACGGTCACCGATTTAAACTGAAGTTGATGCAGGGGGCCGGGGGCTTCTATACTGGGAAGTGTCAGTCTAGATCAAGCCTTCGTGGCAAGCATCAGCACCCCCGGAAGGCTGGATCGGACACGGATCGGGGCTGGCTCTGCCCCTCGCATTCCTACTTCAGCAGGTGTGGGTCGGGGGCTCGGCAGTTCGCACTTGGAACCAACCGCCAGGTGCTGCTGCTGGAGGTCCACGAACCCCATTTTGCACAGCGCTGGCCTAGGTGAGAGCTGCCTGCTGGCCTCAGGGCAGGGGCTCAGGACAACCATACAGGAGAAGGAAGGAAGTAAACACAGGAAAGAAAACCAAGATTTGTTGGGGGTAGGATGGGCATTTTCTATGTGCAATAGAGCCATGACACAGAGCTGTTACTTAATTCGGGTTTATGAGGTGTTCATACGTACCCCGTTTCTGTCAATGCAAGCCACGGTGGAGTTGTTGCTGGTGGCGCTCTGGAAAAGAACCGAAGGTGCTGAGGGTCCACGTGCCTTGTCTCACCCACGCCCACCGAATGCAGGGCCTGGGGCCTCACGGGGCGGGTGTCACTATGGGGGCTTAACGTTGTCCTGACCCATTAGCTTTAGAAAAACTAGGTTTAGTTCGGACTTAATTCTGGTCCCTAGTAGACCTGAAAAGACTACGGCCCAGTTACTTCAAGGCCATAAAAGAACTAATACACCTGACTGATTCGTTCTGAGTCTGGCCTGACCATTTGCTTAAAACGGACTTCTTTGTCTCCCTGTGAGTTCTGCTGGGGGGGGTACCATTTTCTCTAAGCAACTCATTCAACCCAGCAGACACCGTGCTTGAGAAGGGGGCGCATTTCGTACCAGAGAGCTCAGGAGGGGAGTCCGGGATGTGGAGGGGCTGTGGAAGAAGCCCTGCTGGGGAATGAGGTACTCATCGGCGTCCACCACGTCCTCCATGTCCTCTTCATCCATTAGCGCGCGGTAAAAATTGGAGTCTGTCGGGCTCGGCAAGTGCATTCTCTCATCTCCCTAGTGCAGAACATTTTGAGATGATCAGTAGGGCCCTGAGAGGCGCCAGTCCACAGTTTGGGCAGATGCCTCTTTGTTGGGCACTTGGTTTATAATAAAATCAGTCCGATTCTCCACAGAGTAGCGGCTTCCTCCCCTCCCCCACATGACAGGAAAATACTAAAAAATTCTCCGATGTTTAAAAGCCCCTAAATGAAACAGAAACAGCTTAAGAGGAAGAAGAAAGGGATAGAGCAGAATTTATGGAGGGTGAGTTTTGCTGTTAGGTGCTGCCATCTTACAGTTTATGGTAAGAAATGTGTTGGAATTCCCAGCAGAGACCTTTTAAACCCTTGGGATCTCCTAGGGGAGGAGAGTGGCAAAGGTGTCATTGTTATGTTAACCAGGGGCTTTAGGCCCACACCTAAGGATGGGGGTGGTTGGAGGGGTGGGGATGGGGGAGTGGGGGGGCCAACCCAGAGATGAGCGGACTGGACCTCTAGGTCAGCCACACCCCCTGATGTCCTGGAACGGGGGAGGGGCTGGAGGTGGACTCAATCACCGTTTGGCCACTAGTTGAACCAGCAATGCCCATTTAATGAAGACGCCATAAAACCCCATAGGGTCTGGGTTCAGAGAGCTTCTAGGTTGGTGAACACTTGGGAGTTTGGCGACAGCCACCCAGCGTGAGTAAGGGAATTGCTTGCTGGGAGTTGCATGGAGACCCCCTTTTCCCCACTCCCCCACCACTAGCACCAGAATTGCTGAGCAGAATCTTCAGGGGCTATGCAAATTATTTTGCATACATGACCTCACAGCCCTGTGAGTTTGGTTTTGTTGACCTAAAGCGTTAAGTGGACACTCAGGGGTTTGAAGGCAGATTTGCTGCCATGAAGGGCCTGCTTCTCCATCAGACGGAGCTGAGGCTCTGGCTGACCAGAATATGAAGATGGCACATGGAATGAGCATGTCTGGACGCTAGGATTCAGCCGGGAATGGCAAATGGGGTCGGGGAGGGGCGGGGCACCACAGAGGAACTCCACTCCGTTCAGTGGGGCCATGTCTAGTTCTAAGGCGCTGAGGGTTTAAGGACGGGGCCTGGGAGACAAGGAAATGGAATGGGCATGCAGTGGAACACAGTGACATTGGACGCTCATGAGAGGGACTCCTCCCCGTGCAAGTTCTGAGGCTGTGATCTGGTACCTGGATGACAAGGTAGCGCTGGGGGTCTCGGGCCATTTTGGAGAATTCAATGATCAGTTCACGGAATTTGGGACGACTGTCAGCATCTATCATCCAGCCTGGGGAAGGAATGAGGAAAACAGCGCAATTAGACCCCGAAAGAAATGGTAAAGACGGCATTGCTTCCAGGAGGCATTTATGGTGAGATCCTTTCAGGCAAGTAAGGGATGCAGAAACCAAATCTTTGTGACGGGCTTTGTAGTCCTGGCACCCTAGCGCTGATCCCAGTTTAAAGACCATGATGACACAAAACACTTGAATCAGAATGCCAGCAACATCGTCTAATTTTCAGTGCCTACTCTTCCTGGGGCCGGAGTTCTGGAATTATCACCGTAAGTGTTCCGGCAGCCTTGCATGCATCGCTGTTTGTGGACTACTAAGACTGCAGGGAGCCTGGCGTCCGGGGTCTCTGGCTCAGTCCTCACGGGGCATCCACTTTCATCTAGACTCGCTTAGCCGTCTTGCCAACTGGAAACTAGACTCAATTTAGGGAAAGTTAGGGACTTTCTTTAAGAGCCTCCAGGTTTGGGAACTCCACACCCTAATGCTTTCATTGTCTTACGTTGGCAGTAACAGAGCACGCAAGTGAGGGGGCGTCGCAGTGCCTTCCCTAGGATCGAAGTCGGGATTGAACAGCTGGAGGAACAGCGATCAGCTGGCAATCCTCGTCTCTCTCGAGGGCTCACATTTATTTTTTATCAGCAGGATGTCAGGTTATTTTAGGACAGACTGCTATGTGACCTCAGACAAACCGTGTGACCTCACTGGATCCCAGCTTCCTCAATCCACAGCAAGGAAGTTAAAAGTAGGTTAACTCTGTGGTCTGAAGTTGGAAAGGCATTACTATTTACATGGACTTGGCCCCGTCCTACTCCGTGTGCTACCTTCTCCTGCAAGTGCCCGTGACACGTGGAATGTCACCTTCAGAGCCTGCTTAACTTGTCCTTCTGGTGGAACAAGAGCACTGACCAAGTTAGACACTCTTATTTAGATTAAGATGTTTACTTGCTACGCTGCAAAAGACCTCATGTAGATCTATTATTTGAAAAGGGTTAAGTCAAGGCAGAATTGTCGCTTCTACCAGCCTCGTGGGCTTCTCCTTGTTAGGTGTTTAAAAACATTCGGTCTCTCCAGTAACAGGTTTCAAAATGTGCAACACTGTTTTCATTGAGCAACTCAGAGAACAGAATATTTTGATGGTTTCTGGGGGAATTTGGTTTTATTTATTTGCTTGCAAACATGGGCACATGCCAGGGCACTGCGCTCAATGGGTCAAGCAAAGGCTTCCTGAAGAATGCTGGGGGAGAGTTTACAGACGTTTCTGGGTTTCGGTGCCGCTGTAGAGAACCGGGACGAGGTTTTTTCAGGGAATCAAAGGTCTCAATCTTTTGGCTAAGGGCGGCAACACCTTTCTAGGCACCATAAGGCACTGTGAGTGCTAACATCCAGGTATGCTAGCATGGATGGCTGCGGCAGTCACTCACACTTGACCATGATCATGTAGACATCGATGGTGCATATGGGTGGCTGCGGGAGGCGCTCTCCTTTTTCCAGGATGGTGGAGATCTCGCTGGCGGGGATTCCGTCGTAAGGCTTGGACCCGAAGGTCATCAACTCCCAAACGGTGACGCCTGAGAGGATGAGAGAGCTGCTTTATGAGTTGGTAATAATCACCACGCCTTGTCTTTAGTCATCATTTAAACGTTTCTGATCTTTAAAAACCTATGTTTCTGTGGCTTTGAGCAATTTGCCTGATAGCTGGAAGCCTCAGTACACCTTTCTGTATAGTGGGATAATGACGGTATCTGTCTTACGGGATAGTTGTGCAGATCAAAGAAGAAAAAGCAACTGAAAAGTTCAGACAATGCCTGGCAGATAGTAAGTGGCCAATAAATGTTAAAACTTGAGTGATAGCAACAATGACAAGTCAACCACTATAATGACATAAGGAGCAGGAGTTACACACTCAGAACATCTGCCCTAAGCTACTTGTGTCTATGGAAGATGGAGACCGCAGACAAGGTTGTACACTGCACATTTAAAAATAATAAAAATTGGGAACCAGAAAACTCTACATTCCTTTTAAAAAACATCAAAACCCCATACTTTTTGTTTCAAAAATCAATAAAATCCATCGTCATGATTTAAAAAAAAAAAAAAAAGCAGTACTTTTAGACTTGGTGTTTTTCCAGACCATCCCTGAGTTCTGATGATTCTTCTATCTCTATGCCTTTCTTGTTGGGATTCTCTGCTCTAGAAATCCCCACCATGAAGGTGCCCTGGGGTGACTCTAGAGGTGACCCCAGTGGGATGGAGCCTGGGTCCCCAGACTACACAGGAAGGGACCAGACACGGGATCCTGCCAGTTTCCTGATCTCCAGCTGGTCTAATGATCCATTTTCTCTAGAGCTGGCCTCTAAATACATAGTCCCACAGGTCAGCCTGGATTATCCAGAGGCCGTCCCAGAGCTGAATGACCTGAATTCAGAGCATGCAACTTTGAAGAATGAAGCAAAGTCATGGTCCAAGGGCAAGAACACAGATTCTGCTGTCCCTCCTCACCACAGCGTCAACATGGGCTTGATGAAAAAATAAAATCTCATTTCCAGATCCACGAAGTCAATTCATCCTAACGAGGTTTAAACATTATGTTAAACACGTACAATGCCTTCCTGTGGGACAGCAAGCTCTCCAGGTTTGGGGACAAATGGTAAGAGAGAAAGTGGTGTGCATACCTGGTGGTGGCTTTTGAGAGGGCCTGGAACGAGGCAGGCATTCTCTCTTTTCCACTCCTAAGTGGAATGCATTCGTACCTAATTTATTAAAATATTCTGTCTTGACTGGAGACTAGGGAGTGGAGTAATAGGATTTGTTTTTTAAAGATTTTTGTTTATTTGAGAGAGAGCACTGAGCATGCACAAGTGAGCAGGGGGTAGGGCAGAGGGAGAGACACTCCCTCAGCAGACTCTGCGCGGAGTGCGGAGCCTGACGCAGGGCTCCATTTCATGACCTGAGCTGGAATCAAGAGTGGGGCGCTTTAACTGACTGAGCCACCCAGGTGCCCCAATAAGATTTGTTTTTTTAAGCTAGAAATTCAGGTCTGTGGTTTAACAATTGCACTTACTGCCAGGGACAGCAGATTATAATCACCGAAAACACAATTTCCACCGAAATGAAACAACACACAGTCACTAGAGGGATGCTAACTTTCTGACACTGCTTGTAATCATCCAAAGGCAGGAAGTCGCAGAATTTAAGAGAGCTCTCATTTACTCAACAAATGAGGACCCACTCCAGACAGGAGGTGGGTTGGCCCATGCTGGCTGCCGCACGGAGGGCAAGGAGGGAAATGCAGCCTCGTGATTCTGGAAAGGCCGAAGGAGCCAGGCCGCTCAGGAGCTTGGGTTTTGTTTGGAACATATGTGGAAAACCAAAGAAGGCTATTAAGCAGAGAATTAAAAGTCTGCTATGGTTTAAAACTATTTTTTTGTCTGTTGTCTGGAGACTAGATGAATGTGTGCAGAATGAGGAGAGAGAAGAAGACCTGTCAGGAACCTGAGGGAAGGAGGTGACAGCGGAGTTGCCTCTGGACGGGACCTGGGAGCGGGAAAAGTAGCATTTTTCCCTGTCCCTCTTGGGGAACAGACACACTGTGAAAATGACTAAAACAACAAGGCATCAGAATAGCCTTATGTCCTTATCTAGTTCATTGGTTGCAGGCAGCTCTGCTCACAGGTACGTGTAAAAATTCACCTGTTCAGCGAGAAAGATCTCTGTCTTTGTAAAGCCTGCATCCTAGCAGAAGAGACAAAGATCCATGAAATTGAAATACATTTAGAATGTCAGGAAGTTAATAATGCTATGAAGGAAAAAAAGAACCTAAGTAGATGATGTCTTGAGTGATTTGTTTTTTTGTGATAACAACTGGATTCCTCTTGGAAATCTGCCTCAATACTACTCTCCCCAAACACCCATTTCTGCGGAGATGGGGTGGCCCCTCCTCATCCCCCCTGTGACTTGAGTAGTGGGGATAGATGCTAATTCACAGATAAATGCATCAGATGAGCTATTTCACAGGCTTCCAGCAGACTGCTGGACTTGTGACAGTGGGTTAGTGACACTTTCTTCAGTGGTGAGGCCCTTGTAGGCTCAAGACATCCTTTGTGCAAAGGCAATGAGGCAAGAAGAGGAAAGGCGTGTTGGGGAGGAGGGGCACAGGCCTGGGCAAGGCCACAGTGGGATTTGGAGGGTGAAGCATAGAATCCGTCCTGAGGAGATGTCTTCCCTAGAACTGCAAGCAATCACTATTTCCCTTGCTTATTTCCCCCCCCCCCCCCAGACACATCTCCCAGTGCACTCCTGTCAAGCCCTTCTCTCCAACACACAAAGACTTCCATTCACTGCATGAAACAGTGGCCACTGAGTTAGTCCATCACACAACCTCATGCTTCTCCCCGGAAAACCCCATTTGTCATCTCCCTTTGGTTCACTTCAAATCCATGACAAGAGGTCAAGTTTGGTCTGATGCTGCAGGTCTACACATTTCCTAAGTCCAAGCTCTCTCTCCCTCCGTTACCCGCTCTTGACAAGTTCACTGATCTCTCCAGTGACACGTAATGCGCTAGTTAGACCCAATTTCCTTTGTCATGTTTTCTTAGTAGAATAGACAGTGACTACTACGCTATTATTAGTTTCTGTCTTGGAAGAAAGTATTTGGATGACAGAGCATAGAATGTCAATCAACAAACAATTCAAGCCGGCTTCTGCTCAGTACGCATTCATTAGCATCAAGATTTTGACTCACCGTAGCTCCACACATCACTTTGGTGGGTATAAATTCGGTGTAAAATTGATTCCAAAGCCATCCACTTGATAGGCACCTTGGAATGATGAGAGAGGAAGTAATAAGCATTAGCTTCCCTCTGTTGCAAAAAATTAAATCACGTTGAAACAAATTACAAGCGACAAATGTGGGAAAGCCAGGACACTCCACCTTGATACCCCAGGATGAGTGCTCCCTCCCAGGAGGAGGAGCAAGTTTTTAAGCTGGTAGAAAACAGGGCTATTCTGTTCAGCCCCAGGTTTGGTTTCATGAAGGCCTCACCTGAGGACCTTTGGTCTGTGGGCTGTTCTGGTGAACTGGGTGCACATGCCAGGGGCTGGGGTTTCTGGTGATGCACGGTGGTCCCAGCCACCCCTCGATTATGCGTGTTTGCGGAGACCAGCTACTTGGAGCCGTCCAGGTCAGAGTGAAATTTAAGAGGGGTACAGCTGATTCAGAGCTACTGGAGGGCTTAGCATGGGCACTTGCACCTCTCCCCATGCTGGGAGAGAGTCCCCTGGAGGACCACCAAGTCTGTCTGGGAGGAGGGAGTCTAGGGAGGCTCCCAAGTGAGCCTTTGGAGCTCTAGGAATGGCATGGGGAGTTTTCCATATTTCTGAGATGTTCTCAGTAGCTGCATGCCACCAAATTAGCTGTGATATTTCCCAACTGCTCTTCTGAAGGGATTGGGCATGGAGAACCAACCTTGGCTAATGGTCACCCAAAGATGGAGCCGAGCTCGTGTTTATTTTCACTCTCTATTTTCACTCTCCCTGCAAATCCTGCTCTTAGAGCAGCCCCTCTGGTCTGTACTTCCAGAAGAGGACCCTGGCTAGACTCAGGTGTCCATGGCTGCTGCTGTGACCTCACCCAGAATGTTCTGAGAACGTCCCCTCCATCGGTCAGTCTGCTGGCGAGTGAATGCTCGCCGATCTACGAGCCACGTCTTACCTTGCCTCCTTCCGCATGGTATTCTTTCTCCTCGGCACCAAGCAGCTTGGCCAGCCCAAAATCTGTGATCTTGACGTGCTGTGGTGTCTTCACCAGGACATTTCTGGCTGCCAGGTCACGGTGCACCAAGCGCCGGTCCTCTAGGTAGTTCATGCCCTGCAATATGGGGCCATGCAGTGAGGGAACGCATGGCTTAGCAGACTGCCCTGGGGAGCACAGAGCGGGGTTCCACCACGGATGGCATGGTTCTGCTCTGTGGAAAGCAGGCGCCTGTGCACAGGGCTCTGACGTCCTGTTCCCCCCAGACTTGGAGCTTTCCGAACTGGGGGCTGTGTCTGCCCTCGTCTCTGTGCTTCGCCTGATGGACACAGTCCCTTGCACCTTGTGAACACTAGTAACTACCAACTGAGTAGATGCAAAGACAAATTAAGGAGGATATCATGAGCTACTGACTTGCTAACTTTCCTCCAGCCAGTAACTCGTTTTAAACCCAGATGAACCAAGTATTGGAGGGTAGTGATGGAGCAAGAGCTCTGCTGTCGGGCTGAGACCTGGCTGGGAGCTTGTCTGGAACTTGGCAACCGTGCCCCTGCCTGGGGTCGCCCTCCCTACGCGCAGCTGACCTGGAAAGCAGGGAAGGTAAAGCCGCTCCCCAGGCTGGGAAGCCTTGCACCCCTCATGCTCTCCCACACTACTTGCTGTGATTCGCTACCAATGGATGACATTTTTTTTTTCGAGTGTTATTTCCTCGTTTTTAAAATTGAAATCACATGGACATTGAATTTGCTTTGACAGGTGGCACTTCCCTCTGCCGACCCTAACCCTGTCCCGATCAGAATCACAGTTGAGAGAAAGACTATTTGAGAAGCGCCTAGCACGGTGCCTGACACGTGAATTCCCGGAATTATTCCCCCTCAAGTCCGGTCCTTGCCCACAGTCTTCTTGGCGGCCGTCATGAGCTCTTTGGGCTGGCAGGCGGGGGTCGCTTCCAGCCTCGACTCCTCCTTGCTCCGTGCCTGCCTCGTTCAGCCAAGCTCCCTGGGACCCTACCAAGCTCCAGCCGTTGACATGAGCTTGGCAGCTCCCGCCCCGTGCAGGGCCAGCCTGGCAGGCAGGAGACGCTGTAAGCCCCCGCAGGTATCTTGTGTTTGTGCCACATTCTCTGCCACTTACTCATGAATGCGGCTCGATCTCTCCGGCCAGGGGCGTGGACCCCGTTTCCAACCTCCCTTACAGCTGACACTCGACACTCAAGAGCTCTCCAGCAAAGACAGCCCAGAAAAGCTTACTGAAGTGCATGAAATGCAAACGAACGGGCTTCACCCACACGGCTTTAGTCTCTTTCTCCAAGCTGCGGTGGACTCTCCTTGGGAGGGCAACGGCAGGGAGAACCTGTCACTAGGGATGGAGTCCCCAGTTTGCTGGCAAATTCTTTGCTTCCTTTGGCAATAGATAGTATGTGAAAATTCTTCGTGAGGTGAAATTAAAATTATTTTCTTTCTGGAGCAGAACTAACCCTCCTAGGAAATTAGGATCTTAGGAAGATGTGACCAGGAATTAGCCTTTGGGGGTCATTTTTGAGGACTCTCATTTTTCTTTCTTTGGAAAAAGATGATTAATTCCCATGTCTCCCTTCTCCCTCGTATGATCTAGAAAGTTCTGAATGTTTAAGATGCTGTTGGATTTAATTGCTCCCCTCCTGATTCCTCAGATGCAGCAAATTAAGGTTAACAGGGCTCGTGTCTACTCAGGAGAAAACCAGCAGGTTCTCTCTGGCACAGCACTTCTAAATTAGGGATTATTATTTAGGAATGGCATGTGGGGAGCGAGAGGGAAGGAGCAGAAGCTGAGAAAACTCCTCCAAACAGAGGACTGACTTACTACTCCGTGTCCCCTCTCCCCACGACGCCGTCACTGGGTGCCCCATTCAATCAGCTTTCCTTTCTCCTTTGGTTCCTGGGACCTTGCTCTTACAAAAAAGCAAGGCCTCTCTCTATTACATATGGTGTGCTCTGCCCCATTCAGAAAGGGTTAATTGGGCTTGGCCTCTTTCCGGGTTCACGAACATGTGCACTCCCGCCTGTATTAGCTCACTTGCTCTCTCTCTCCTTCCGCCTCTCTCTCGCCCCAGTTTTCTCTTGTTCCTTTCACCCAGTGTCGCTGGCACTGCTTCTGCAGACATTTCCCGAAGACCTCCTCAGGGCTAGATCTGTGTAGGCGTGGCACGGCGGTGTCAGAATGATCATATGTCAGTGCTGGACACACAGCAACCAGTCCAATCTTGCCCTGTCCCTCTCGCTTTATTTCAAATACGTGTTTTCTGAGTTCCTCCGAGCCACCCAGGGTGGACAGGGGGTACTTCAAAGGGAACCACCAGCTTCCTTTCACTACCATCTCAAACTTCTCATTCTGCCTCTTTGAATGCCCCACAGTCTGGACACTGGCCACCTTTTCACCAAGGTTGCTGCAAAATGAACGAATGGAAGAATCAATAAGTGATAACAGCAGCTGACAGTTTGGAGCACTGACGATGTGTGGGTGTTTCCAACCCATCTTCCAAGAAGCCTGCTCTGGGGCTGGAGTGCTGTTGCCCCCAGGACCACCCCGAGAGCCGCCTCAGCGGGTCCAGAGGCCTGTCGGACCAAGTGCGCCGAGTCCCTAAGACCACTGCTGGGACTCGGTCCTACTTTCCTGCTGGGGTCTCCACGTGAAACTTGCCTGCTGGCCCAGAGGCTGCTTGAGATGTCAAAGAAACTCCAAATAAGCAAAAAACCCAGCCACCCAGCCCCTTGGCCCCATGCCGCAGAGTAAGTCTACGTTGTTGTGCAAACCTAATAAACTGACCTGAGCCCCCGTCCCCCTGCCCCCCTTGGGTCTGCAAAGGACCAGAACAGCTTTACTAAATCGTGCTATTTCCGGAGAATATCCATCTTCAGGGAGGGCTTGGGAAAGAGCCCTTTAGGCCTTCTGGAGCCCCCCAGCCAATCAGTTAGAGGGGTCTACATCAGAGATCCCAGGTGGCCAGATGAGGCTCATTTGAACTCAGATAAAACTCTATTCATCAGTCTCTGTCCCACACCACGGAGGTGAGGCAGTTTAAAAGGCCATCTCCACGACCAGCGAAGTTATATTTTAACGAGTCAGCATAGATAAAAGCCCTGATAAGAGCCCATTTAAACAGGAAGCGGCATCCGCAGGGGGCCTCAGTGGGGCCCCTTGGGAAGCTCCTTCCTGATTCCTCTCCGATGTCCTCACTTTAATTGAAATCAACGTATTTATTTGCGTTAATTACTGCAGGACGGCTAGGCTGAATTCTGAAATACCGAGGTTAGAAGGGGGTGTGAAGAGCCCGGCTGGAACCTCAAAGCACCAAGGAGAAGCCCGGGGGTATGGCTCACATGGATTTCAAGATTTTTCTGGCACCGACACCTATGACCGAAGGAAGGACTGGGGGTGGTTGGGTTGGACATTTACAGACTTTTCCGGAGGGCTGCAGCATCCCACAACTCTTGGGGGGAGTCCAGAGGGAGAAGCTGGAATGGGCTCCGTCTCTGTTCTGTTTCATAAACTGCCACGGGGAGAAGCTGGGGGAGCGCTGACTTCGTGAGGACAGAAATGGGACACAGCAGGAAGTGGAGAGGCTGGCAGATGGTTTTGGCTGAGTTCCATCAACAATATGTCTCGCCCACCCCTGGGCCCCTGCCCTCAGAAGAGGTAGAAAAGGGTCAGAATTTCCCACCCCAGACGAAGTCATATGGCACCAATATTGTACTGTGGCAGGGACGGGGGACAGCCAGGCTCACTGGCTCATGGTTTCTGCTCTGAGTCATGCAAGCAAGTGCGAGAGCATGGACTTGAGATCCTGGCTGCGTGGGGTCCAGTCCGGATGTTGCTACGTACTAGCTCAAGACCTTGGCAAGCTACTGAGACAGCCCCGTGCCTCAGTTTCCCTGCATGTAAAGTGGGCTAATCCGACGGTTAAGTTAAGCCACGCAGAACATGGGATGGTGCCCGGTGAGAGTTCTCCGTAGGAGCTAGAGTTTATCACGGTTTCCTCCTAGATGCCAAGTCCCCCCTCTTTTCTCGATGCATGTGCTGTGAGCCTGAATTAGGTCACTGTAATAGTCTGCGTAGCTTAGTCTCCCGAAGAGTCTAATCCTGCATCAACTCCTGAGAAGCCTTTGCTTGTGAGATGAAGCTGTCTTCTTATGCGGGCACGCAGGGCCCCACGGGGTGTCAGCTTGTCGTCCCCGGCTTGGCACTGGCACCCATTTCTCTCTGCAGCAGCCCTTAACATCTCTCAGCCACGGAGCCCCCCTGTGTTCTCACCACTGGGCAACGTCCTGTCCCAGTGTGTGCATCTCACACATGTCTCCAGCACAGAACTCTGGAGGCTAAGAGATAGGCTGGCTTGCCTGCCCACCTCTTCCTCCTCCAACCCTCGCCCCGCTATCCTCCCAGCACCTGGGGCCCGGCTGACAGACTGAGCTCCTCTAGCTGGTCCCCGCCCACCCCAGCCCTGCCCTGTGCCCTTCAGGGCAGCCTGTGCGAGTGTGGCCCTGCATGCTCCCAGCTCTCCTGCTCCGACCACCCATTCCCTACAGCACTGCTAGCTCTGTATGGATCTGTTTCCCTCTCTGGTGTGTAAGCTGGGGAGAAAAGAAATTTTGTTTTATTTATCTACAGCACCTGATTGCTAACACTAGCAGATAAATGCCCAAGAAATTACTAAGTGAAATATTTATAAAAGCTGATATTTTGATACTTTTTTTTTTTTTTTTGGATAGAGAGAGAGAGAGGAAGAGAGAGCACAGGCAGTGGGAAAGACAGAGGGAGGGGGAGAAGCAGACTCCCCACTGAGCTGGGAGCCCGACATGGGGCTTGATCCCAGGACCTGGAGATCAAGACCTGAGCCGGAGGCAGCCGCTTCACCATCTGAGCCACCCAGGTGCCCTGATACTTTAACATAATGATAACTTCTGGCTTTTTAATGACACCCTGCAAAGTGATCATTTAGGCTGATTAAGTTCACCTGTAATCTTTAGTGGACCATTTAAGAATAAATTAAAAAAATAATCCAAATTAGGGAAATGTCTGGTAACAGGATGCTGCTGGGCTCTGTCACTGATCTGCCTTGTTGGCTGAAGTTTATGGAGCCGTGTGCTTCCGGGGGAATCAGCTCCAGTAGAGTCCTCCTTCCTGAATCAGCACCCTCCCTTGGGCTGCACCTCGACCCTCCCCTTGATGAGTCCTGACCTGCAGCCCAGAAGGAGCGAGCCTGAGTGGGGAAGGCCACAGCCCACATGGGAGCAGGACGTGCACAGAGGTGAGTGTGTCCTTGCCGCCACAGCCTGGTTGGACTGACGGACTGTAGCCCCTTTTTGAGTTCCTTTTTGGGCATGATTCTCCTTCTCTCACACCCCTGCTTGTCTATTGGGACCACAGTACAGTGTGTCGATATGGGTTTCACGACAGGGCTCCCAGAACGGAAGACAGGCGGCCCGGACCGTTCTGGCTACACCCGGGGACAATGATCCCCTTCTTGCCCCCCACTCGGACATGATAACCTATAAACAGCTCAGCCCAGCCCGCCTCCTCCCCTTTTAACTGCTCCCATGTCCTGACCGTTCTGACAAATGCACAGCCAATGAAAACACCCGAGGCTTTTTCAAATGAACCTAGACCAAACGAAGTAATCCCGCATGCTTAAAAAAACAAATCCTTTGAACCGACTTTTTAAGTTTGCCCTATTCAAACTGTATCTTGTAGATCGACTTAAATGCAGTTTGGTGTATGTACAGTTGTGGTCGGAGGATGAGGCCGCACAGCATGTCTGGGAGCCTCTCCCCCCACTGCCGTCTGTCTCCAGACCTCTCCAGAGCCTGCTCTCGAGGGTCCTCAACTTCTGGCAATTACTCAAAAACCCCAATTCTGTGAGATCTTAATCTGGGTTAGGTGATAAGCAAGCTCTTTTTCCCAGAGGTTTGGGAAATGTCAGATTAATCCGTCCAGAGAGCTTCGTAGTAACATGCACTGTGGCGGATGCTCTAAGGGGAAGAAACTCGCACAACAGCAGCGTTTTCCAAGCGACGGGATGATAAGGCGATAGGATCTTCCAGATTAGAACATTTTATGACATTATGGCGCCATCTGATATCGTTGGGGACTTACTGGCTGGGTTATGTAGCCAGAAAAGAGTGGATACGCTTTCTGAAGCAACCAAGTCCCAGCACGTGGGGGCTGCCCAGGGCCCCATGAGCCAGGAGCTTAGGAAGCAACGATCTTTCTGCCAGGGGAGCAGCGGGGTGTCTCCACGAGCTCCTGTGGCCAGAGAACAGAATCTGTTTCCAGCACGTTCGACGAGAGGCCGTGGCTCTCTTCTGCTCTCCGTCCCATCCGGACATCCTTCCTAGCCTACTCACTTGGCTTTGCTTTCCCTTTTGCCCAGGTGCTGGAATGTGTCCTCTTAGCAGATCAGGCAGGGCAACAAGCTTGCCTAACAGTGGCCGGCTCTCCGTCAACATTTAGAAAACGTCACAGGAGAGTCCATGCCTTTGTGAATCAAGGCAGGTCATTTATACGTCAATAAATCCCACTTTGAAAATGCCAGGAGTGAGAATGGACTCTGTCGTCCTCTGGAATCGTAAGCACAGGTCTGTGCTGAACAGAACTCGCGGAGGCTATGCACCCCAACTAGTGTCACCTTCGTGGAGCTGTGGACTGACATGACATAATGAGAGAAGAAGTGCTAGCTCACCCGGCACCCTCTGGGGAACCGGGCCTTGGAATCAGGCAGAAGCTGGCCGCAGGTGTGTGGAGCCCTGGAAGCCTGGCCCAGGGTAGGGACAGGCCAGGACTCCCCCCCGCTTTTTTTTTAAAGATTTTATTTATTTATTTGACAGAGAGAGATCACATAGGCAGAGAGGCAGGCAGAGAGAGAGGGGGAAGCAGGCTCCCTGCTGAGCAGAGAGCCCAATGCAGGGCTCGATCCCAGGACCCTGAGATCATGACCTGAGCCAAAGGAAGAGGCTTTAACCCACTGAGCCACCCAGGCGCCCCCAGGACACCCTTCTTACGGAGCTCACCGTCCAGCTGGGGTAGGTGGGCACAAACTCAAGTGGGCCAGTAAATAAGCCAGATCTTCCCAGGTAGCAATTTGCGATAAAAAGAAAAGCAGGGGGTGCCTGGGTGGCTCAGTCGGTTAAGTGTCAGCCTTTGGCGGGGGTCATGATCCTGAGATCCTGGGATCGAGTCCCCACATCGGGAGGGACTGAGCAGGGCGCTTGCTTCTCCCTCCCACCTGTGTTCTTGCTCACTCTGCTCTCTCTTGCACTCAAATAAATAAAAAGTCTTAAAAAAAAAAAAGAAAGCAAACAAAGCAAAGTAACTTGTCTGCATGGGCGGGGGCGTACTCTCTGTTTCTTGCCATAGATAATCAGGGAAGAAAGCTAAGGAAGGACTTCTGGGCTCGGGCGTCCGTGTATGAGTAGATCCTCAGGAGTAATGCTGTATTCGGTAAAACCTGCATGGGCTGACCATCACCTCCTCCAGATCAGCCACTGTCCTGCACTGAATGGGGCCCTAAGTGCCAGGTCGACCAGAAACCTCAGAAAGTGACCTTGTTTGGACACAGGGTGTTGCAGATGGCATCAGGCAAAGGTCCTGGATGGACGCACCCTACAGGATGCCTGGGTGGCTCAGTGGGTTAAGCCTCTGCCTTCAGCTCAGGTCGTGATCCCAAGGTCCTGGGATCGAGCCCCGAGCTGGGCTCTCTGCTCAGCGGGGAGCCTGCTTCCCCCTTTCCCTCTACCTGCCTCTATGCCACTTTGTGATCTCGATCTCTCTCTCTCTCTGTCAAATAAATAAAATATTTAAAAATATATATGTGTGTATATACATATATATGTAAAAAAAAAAAAAAAGAAAGCATCCCTCACTTAGGGATGACTGGTATCTTTTAAGAGAAAGGAAAACGCGATTTAGACTCAGACACAGGGAACAGCTGTGTGAAGACCTAGGTACCGATGGGAGGGACCGTGAGCCCGGGAGGACCTGGAGCCAAGCCTTCGGAGGGGGCAGGCCCAGCCTCACCTTGACTTTGGACTGGCCTCCAGAACCGTGAGTGGATTCCTCTCTGTTGTGATCAGCCACCACGAATCTGTGGTAATTCGTGGCAGCCTTAGGAGCCTAATCCAGTCACAACAGAAATAATGAACATTTCTCATGAAGTCACAGCACCGGAAGTGCACACCCTCTTCCAGGACCCCTGTCTACTACCGACAAAAACGTCCTCGACCCTGTGACCTGGTGATGGCTGCGAGAAGGACGAGAACACAGGGGACTGGCGGTGGTCAGAGGAGGTGCCAGGAGCCTCCAGGGACTACAGCGGAGAAATCGACACCAGACGGTGCCGGAATAAACTGACTATCGCTACGACCAGGGGAGGGACGGGCAGTCAAGGCCCAGACAAGGCCTGGTGGAAGTCAGGCTTTCTGACTCCGGAGCCTTGGCACACCCCTCCACACCCTGCTCCACGGTGGAGCTAACCAAGGGGCAATGACAGACGCGCTCAGAAAGGGGCCCGCCCACAAGTCCCCTGCGTTCGACTGGGTAAAAGAGTGCGAGAGAAAGCTAGAATGTAGCCTTTGGGTTGCAAGTAACGGGTGCAGCGCTGGGACCAAGAGGGAGAAGTTGGAGATTAAAGTAAGAACTCCTTGGGAGGCCATGGGAATGGCTAAGTACCCAGCACGTGTCCTTCGCACGCAGGTGGGGTCCCTGGTCCACAGGCTTGTTCTCAGCCATCCCTCACTCTAGAATGAGGCTGTTAACAGGGACAGGGAGTGGCACGGGAGGAATCCCAGCAAAGCAGACACATCTGCTCCCCTGCTAGTGCTCCTCCAACATGCACAGCAGATCTCGCACCCAGCACCTGCCCTGCCTGCACAGCCCCCTGTCTTCTGGGGCTGCCCAGCCCAGCCCCAGTCTCCTCACTTGCCTTGATAGCAAGTCCTGATGGGGCAGAAGCCACAGCTCCCCCTACTACAAATCACCCTAACATTCAACACATAGAACACCCGGGAAGTAACACTAGCCTCACACCACACCAAGCACCTAGTAAAGCGAACGGTGTGTAAATGGAGCTGAATAATTAGATTTCCCCCATGCAGCGGGACAGGACCTGATTGGATGCAAAACACAATCATTTGACTGGGTCCCAAACAAAATGCCCTTGGTGTGTGTGGGTACACACTGACACACACACATACACAGGATTGAGTTATCCCAGGATGGAGAACCTGTTGATTTTCGGGATGTCTCGATTCCCCCCCATTGCTTCTTTTCTTCACGGCTCTCACTAATGAGCATAGGATCCCAGGGGAATGGGGGTGGCGGGGGGGTGGTGCGGGGGGCAACCGGCTGAGGCTGCTGCACCTGCTGTTAGTGGGAATTTCTGCTCTACTCTCAGAGCCGGGCGCCTGCTCTGTGCACACTGCTCTGGGCAGAGCCCCCCTCGACTTACCTTTGCAATCTGCACACACCAGTTGAGCAGGTACTGGGAGCCGATGTTGTCCTTGTGCTCGCGGACATAGTCCAGGAGGCAGCCAAAGGGCATGAGCTGTGTGATCAGCTGGACCGTGGAGGTGAGGCAGATGCCCAGGAGGCGGCAGACATGAGGATTGTCCACGCTGGCCATCACGTAGGCTTCCTGCGGGGAGGAGAGGAGAGCGCTAGAAGGGCTCCGCACCGTGGCTAAAGGGAGAGGAAGGCAGACCCCTTTCCAGGTTTAAAATCATTTTTAAAAAAGCAAAGCGCAGGCATGATTTTGAGTTCCAGAATGTGTACCGGGGGAGGACAGGGTGTCCCATGAAACATTCAGTGCAATGGACATTTATGCTGGGACTGTCATTTTGTGGCACAGCACACCCGCTGAGCGTGATGCAAGGACTCGCCTGGACAGAGAGACCCAGGCTGCGTGCCCTAGCGGCACAATATTGAATGAAAACGGGACCTGATGTCTCTGGGTGTGAGTGCTGCTGGTGCCTGTGTTGGCAAGGCCCTGTCCCAAGGCTAAATAAATCTGCTGCAGTTTAAGATGTTGTCAGCACCTGCACATATCCACGTTCGGGTCCCTAAGGCTCGACCATCCCACTGGACTGAAATACACACGTAGAGGTAGGGCCGCAGGAAAGCTCCCGGCCGGCCGGGGTCATTGGAGCCAGACTTCGCTGGAGACGCCCCTCCAGGGGGCCTGTTTCAGGCTTTGAACTGGACGGAGGGCAGCCCTTAACGGGAGTCCCAGGCTCTGCCGGCAGCTCAGGATTCATTTCCGGACAGAGGTGGTCTGTGTTGCCCTCTGCCTCAGTCTCGAGATGGGAAACCACGCTGCTCTGTGAAGCGCCCCCCTCATTTGACTGGCTGCCAAAGCAGGAGCCTTTGTGGACCCAGACCCATGCCTGTGGGCTTTATGTGAACCTTCCTCCTATTCTTGGGCAGAGGAAGAGCAAGTGTGCATGCAGCAAGGGCCCTCCTCTCTTCCATCAGATGGAGAATTAGGGAACCCTTGCTTTCCTCCCATAAATTCTCCCTTTCAAACACAAAAGGCGGTGACCTTGAATTGAGTTGTGAAAGGGACCACATGGCCAGCAAGAGGGAGCTCTGAGGTTCCTTTTTGTATTTCCAGACTGCCGTGGGTGGGGTGTGGACTTGGGGACGTGGCGTGGCTGGGATGAGAGCACTGAGGTGACGGAGAAGACAGAGTGGGGCTAGGGGTGGAGGCACAGACAGGGATTCCTAACACAACCCAGACCACACCTTGTTTCTTGCCTTAAGCCCTCCTCCGGCCTCACAGTTCCTGGGCAGCCCCATGCCTAGCACAGCTGACCCTCCTCCAGAAACCCCCCCTTCCCGCCCCTCCTAGTTCTCAGCTCTCTCAAACCTCCTTCAGGCCCTCGCCCCTAAGAGGGCCTTTGCCTGGAATGCCCTTCCACCTCCGCTTTCCTCGTCTGATGACTCCTCCTCCTCCTCTGCCTCCTCCTCCAAGGGGCCTTCCTGATTCCCAGGTCTTAACCTCTCCTGGCATCTTGTCCTTTTTCCGTGGCCCGGAACTTGCTCAAGATGCAAATTTTTGGGCCCCACCCAGGCCTACGGTGTGAGAGGCAAGGAGGTGGAGCCCAGCCCTCCGTTTGAACAAAACCTCCACGGGGTTCTGAGGGGTTTGGAGCTCTCGCCATAATCTGCGCTAAATACTTCTGTGATTTCGTAAAATGTCCTCCCTCCCCACTGAGCTCCTTGGGGGAAGGACTGCATTCTCAGCTCCCAGCATTTGCTCGGTGCTTTTTGGCATGCTCTTTTGCTGGCAAACACAGCTATTTACTGCCTCAATATCCCCTACATGTTCCTGCTGCCTGGGCAAGTCAAGTGACTACCTCGGCCCCGCGTCTTTCCTCTTTTGTCTTTGCAGAGGTACCGAACACTTAGGCACAGAACGGCCTCCAAAATGTTAGGTCTGGACTACGCTGCAGTCACACAAAGCCAGAAATTTAAAGCAAGTCAGAGACGACACACTTCCATTAACAACAACAAAAATTCCTGTAGCTTTTAACGTTCGCTGTCTGGAAGTTTCCTGAGTGGTTCGGCCCTCTCCTTGCAAGTTGGGCCGGCCTTTCTTCTCCTGTACTGTAAACATCATATCACAAAATCAGAGAGTAGACATGTGATTCTGAAAGACCTGCAAACATCAGGGCTGTTGATAAAAAGTAGGAACTGGAAAGCCCCATACATGCATTTCTTCTGAGGCCCTGACAAGGGAAACGAGGCCCAGAGATGTGAATGGCTAACTGGAGATACTCTGTGTCAGATCTGGGGCCCCATGTGGGTCTCCCCACAAGGGCGACACCCTCTGCAAGCCCCCTCGTCACCCCACGGGTCCTGTGGCCTCCCGTGGTGCCCTGCTCAGTGCTCCGCTGAATGGGCTACCAGAGAGCTCGGGACCTCCCTACACACACAGCACATACACAAACGTTTGCATTCTTTTTCCACTGCCTGCCCTAAATTTAAACTGGAAAGTCTATGGAAAAATTAATAGGCCATGTGATTGCCAGAAAAGCACAAATCACGTCTCTCCCCCAAGTCTGGGAAACCGTACAACCATAACACCAAAGAAATCCTCTGGCCACTCCTATTTTCTCAAGATCTGGTTGGGATTTGGACACATATTGTATTCATTTTGGAGGAGAGAAAAATCTGCAAACCAGAGCAAGTTTGAGCAGCCCATCTGTTGCGGGGCTGTGAGGAGCTGACCTGGACCCGGGCATCGGGGAATAGAGCACCGGGCGTGGGTGTCGGGCCACACAGAGCCTGGAGCTTGGCCAGATCCCCATCCTCTTAAAATCTGATAGAGCCGCAGAACGAGGTCATCACTTCCGCCCCACCCCCAAGGACAATGGAGACGCTGTTCCGTCGTATGTCCTGTTTGGTGCGCTGCAGAAGTTAAAGCTAGCTTTGTTCTTAGCTGTTTATCTTGGAATCTCAAAGGTGTACTGTGGCCCGTAGCAAGAATGCTTGGTATTCTACAACAATCTCTGACCCGGGCGCTCCGGCCAGGCGCCCCTGTTCAGAGACCCCAAGGCTGATGTCTCAGTCACATGGCTCGGAGGCTCCGTGACCTTGAAAGTCTATGACTTTGTCCCCGTTGCCAAGATGATCTTTGGTGCCTGCCTTCTTGCTGGTCTCCCTCCTCTGTGAACTACTTTAGGTTGAGGATGGGGGCAAAGGACTCCTCTAGATTTTCCACTCCTTCAGGAGAGGCATAGGATTAGCCTTTGGAATGAAGAGAAAGGATCCCTACATTTTTGAAATTGTACCAATTAGCTAAGCCTCAGGCCGCGGCTTAAACTAGAGGCTGCCACATGGGCATGCTGGACCTCGGGGCCTGATCCCAGCACAGGAATCAGAGTATCAAGTATTTGGGGAGCAGAACCATTTACAAGTGAGTGTGAGCATTTCAACGGACGCATGCAGCCCGATGGGCTGGCTGTCTGGTCTCAGAATTCACCTGCTCCTTGGCTCACTGCTGAAACCGGCCTTGGACGTGACGTGCTGGGCACTGGGTGTTATACACAACGGATGAATTCCTGAACACTACATCTATGTGGGCTAACTGCATTTAAATTAAAAAAAAAAAAAAAAGAAAAAAGAAACTGGCCTTGGACTCACTGGCTTTTGCTTCCTAAATGTAGCAGACTCTCCCTGCCCCTCCTTCCCTTCAGGGGCTCCCCACCGCCCAGGCATCATGCTGCACTGATGGGACTGCTGAGTTCTGGGCACACTGAGCTTCAGGAAAAGCAAATGACAAGGCGTCCAGCCTGTCACCCAGGAACTGCAACAGCTGTGATGTTTGACAGGAGAGAAGACAAGAGTCGAGCAGAAACCAGAATAGAAGGCGGGAATAAAATAATGGAGGGAGAGAAGAAGCAGTTCTCACTGCGGTCAAGTATATGAGAAATTCAAGAGAGGAGATTGTAAGAGTTCTCACAGCAGGGAGACACTTCGTGTCTTCCTTTGCTTTTTCTTTTTACTGGATTTACAGGCAGCGAGGGATGACAGCGATGTGTACCCCAGTCACCCCCGTGTAAGTCAAGCCATCCTGCTGTATTAATTCAGCTTACACTGTGCTGTGTGCCCATTACATCCCAGGAATACTGGGGGTGGGGACCCCAAAACAAAACAAAACAAACAAAACTCCAAAAATTGGAGACAGAAGAGAGCTGGAGAGAGACGAAACAAGAGGAAAAGAGGGACTCCCTTTTTAGACTTCTCAGTGTTTATCTCCCCCCTCGTACCTCACAAAAGCAGGTCTCCCCCAGTTTTAGGGGTCTGGGAGGTCCTTTGCAGTGAAAACTACTTCCCTCCCAGAGCAGAGCCATTGTCCTCAAAAGCAACCCTTACTCTGCATCGCATATATTGCTGAAACCCACACCTCAGTGTTGTTCTGTGAGATTTCTTAGAAAGTCTTGAATAAAGAAGAATGAATTAAGGAAGCAAATTTGGCAAAAAAATATTTTCTGTTTAACAGTATAGGTGAGGCAGCTCTAGGTTCTAGGTGGAGAGATGTCCCAAATGTATTTCTTGCGGTTATGCTGACATGAGTTGACGTAATGCTAACAGGACTGCACGTGAACTTGTACGCCATTAAAAGGAAAGATAATTTCGCTTGATAAGTATATCTCCAGTTGGCTGTTGCATTGTACTAATATGTCATCTTTCCCTGAGCAACGTGCCAGAGTGGGGCTCTCCCCATAATAGTAAAGGAAAGAAGCCTGTGGGAGGAATTTGGAGTCTAGAGTGGTCTTGCCACTGGGAAGTTCACTGTGTCAAAACACAGTATTCTACAAGGCCTTGCTTGGTACATATTGTGTGGGTTAGAAGCGAGAGTGGGGAATATTACATTTGGCTCTTGTCCTTCCCAACTACAGGACAACTAAATTCTTTAGATTTCTGAAGCGGCCATTTTGTTTTCTCTGACTCTGTTTCCCTAACCTCCCGCTAAGCCTCCCTACCTTCTCTTTCTCTGGCTCTGTCTTGGGATGAGAGCAAATGTTTGGCTTGTCCCACCATACTCAGAGGCCAACGGTGTTAACAACAAGACCCCATCTGTCTAGTGGATTTTCCTGAGTATCCCTTGAAGCGGGCTCTCCCACATTCCATGGTGGCCCCTCTTTTGGCCAACCTCTGTTTAAGAGGATGTAGCCCCCTTATTGGCTAGTGAGGGTTCAGAGAAGGTGAAGAAAGTTCAGTGGGATTCAAAGTAAAGAAATGAAAATAATCTTGTGGAACATTCCTAAGTCTTACTCTATAAACTAAAAAAGGACACCAGAAATAACATACACATTATTTGGGGGTAAGTACGGAAGATGGGCAACTGTTTCTGGAGTTTATGAAGCATCATACTGTAATCCCAGGCACCTTTAAAAAAGCCATTTCAAAGATAACCTGGTGGAGCCAAATGGACATGCGTTTCGAAGGCAGAAATAGCGATGGGCTGGAATCCTACGCCAACCACGTAAACGTGAGCAACCTTCTTAACGCCACAGGCTGGTCAGGAGGGTTCACTGTGAGAGTGTGTGCAAAGCAACTAGTCCTGAGACTGGCCCTTGCTGGACATTCAACGACTGTGAGTTTCTATCATTTTGGGAGAGAGAGAGAGAGCAGAATTGAAGATGTGACTCTTCTCTACAGGAGAAACCCTGAGAGGGAATTATACCAACGGCAGCTAGAAAGAAAAAAGACATGAAAAGTGAATAGCTAGAATGCGATGATGAAAAGAAGTCTAAAATGGGGCAATGAGCTGTTAGACACCAGAAAATGTGGCTTCTGATGTCCAGGCCTGTGGAAAACTAGAGAGCAAAGAAGAAACTTACATCAAGAATTTCCTTGTTGGCTTTTGGAGATGTGGCTTCTCTTAATTCCTTGATGGCCACGGGAATTTTAACTTTCTCACCTTCTGGGATCCAGAGTCCCTGTGATGAGGAGGGAGAAAAGACATTAACTGGCAATTGTCATACTATGCAATATGCTGACTCGTGAGACAGACGGACTTTACCAGTGACACTGTCCTGAAGGGCGAGGGACCTTGAGCACAGCTCTGTATTCTGAGGCCATCAGAGGTAGGAGCCATGACATCTCATCAGCTCTCCTGCTATCATGTTCCATGAATCAGAGTCATTAGTTAAAAAAAACCCTAAGCCTGTGTCAGTTACAACACCAGTGTGGATCATTTTGTCCAGAATTCTGAGATACTGGGTGTCGGGCTCACTGAAATCAGACCTGATGTAATAGGATCCAGAAAAAAACAAATTAACAGGAGCTGTTTTGACTTGGACTTCATTTGGACACTGTCATAGAGTGACAGGCAGCCCCTTCTTCAGACTCCCTCTCTGCCACCCACTCCTTTACAAAGTCACTACTATCATCCCTGGAAACTTTTGATGACTGTATATGGGTCCCACAGGACTATTTAATTTGTCACCATGATTATACAAGATTTCCTCTTGAGAACTTGGAGAAGACATTGGAATGTCCAAACCATGAGCAACACAAAGAGTAGATAAAGTTGATACATAGAAGACAGCCCAGGACTCTGGATTTGTGCATCAACCCACATCCCCAGAAGTCTTGGCGTCCTGGTGGCCTCACCTTGTACACCGTGCCAAATGCTCCAGAGCCCAGCACCTTGATCTTTTTGAATTCTGTTTCCTTTAAGATCCTCAAGAGAGCTTGGTTGGGAGCTTCTCCGCTGGGCGTAAGAGGCTCAACAAGCTGTGAGAGATAAGGGAGAAAAGTCAATGGTCAACGCTCAGGTCTGTGTGGAGGCGGTCGTTGGCCAAGCCCAGACACAGCCACACGTGGATGTGCTTCAGCCCAAAGAACCTGCCATACTCACTCAAAAGAAGAAACGCACACCTTCTCAAAAAACTTCACGAAAGGTATGTTGACAAAGGGACTCCCTGGTACAGGAGTCCTTGAACAGAACAGCTCCATTTTAACAAATGCGATTTCTACTTCCAATCAATTAGCTGGATTGAGAGAATTTTGGTAAGGAAACTTTTTAGAGGGTTGGTCATTTTGGTAGCCTGTTGGGCATCCTAACACGCAAATGCCTTTATGCTATGAGCTGATGTGGGTCTCTCCTCCCAGGGACTCTGGGTTCTGACACTCTGCAGGACGAGGATGCCGGCTGAGGACGCATTCAAGTGAGTCACATACAAAGCTCAAAAGGCAACAGCACTGTGTAGACAATGGGATTTTCCACAGTTAACTTCTCAACCATGTGCCTTCCCAGGAACCAACACCTATGCACAAGCCTTTCCGTGCACATATATGCGTGTTGTATTTACACAGGACTCTCCACAACTTGGTAGCTATGTTGTGAGACTTAATTCATTCCAGAGCTGTACCCAAATGTGACTAATTGTTTATAATGGGACATTCAGAGATTCTTTTTGGTTTTTCCACCATCAGAAATAAAACATAATAATACAAACACATACTTAAAATACAAAATCTTGAAGGCCAAGACATGGCAGGAGAGCCCTTGTTTCTGTCCAGGATGCTAGGATAGGGGCACGGGCAGGACATGTCAGGCCTGGGCACCCACTCACCTCTCTTTCTTGCAGAAGTCTACGAAGGGTACGCTTCCGGACAATATGGCGCCGGCGCAAAAACAGGCCCACCCCGAGGGCCACCATCACCACCAAGAAGAGGCCGCCCACAATCCCGATGGCAATGGATGGGATCTTGTGCCTGGAATGAGAGGGAGACATGGCAAAGTGAGGCTTGCGGACAGATTTCATTACATTGGCATTTTTTTTTTAAGATTTTATTTATTTATTTGTCAGAGAGAGGAGTGAGAGCGAGCACAAGCAGACAGAGTGACAGGAAGAGACAGAGGGAGAAGCAGGCTCCCTGCCGATCAGGGAGCCCGATGTGGGACTCGATCCCAGGATACTGGGATCAATACCTGAGCCGAAGGCAGCCGCTTAACCAACTGAGCCACCCAGGCGTCCCATTACATTGGCATTTTATGATTTCCTACATTTTTTGACACTTTGACATCATTCATTGTCATCTCAGAAAGTAGGTACCACGTAGCTTCTAAAGAGAGGAAAGAATGTCTGGAGTTTCTAGGGTAGCGTTTCCTCCTTCTTGAGCATTAGAAGGTCCTCCCTCCCAGCTTTTTTACATTTTTTTTAAATGGAGGTATCCTCTGGACATCTCCACATGACAACTGTATTTTAATCTATTGATTAAGAAACCACAAAACTCAAAAAGTAACTCAGACTCCCATAATGCTTTTCATATGAATTTGCATTTACCCCCAGAATCTCTCCATTCATCTGAAGCCTAGAAGGCCACTGCCTAAGACATGCATTGTCTCCTGGCTTGCCTGGGTGAAGGCACGCTTTCCATAACGTTCAGCCTCTTTGAAGGGTCCTTGGCTTTCAAGATGGGACCACAGCCCTGTGGAATGCTTTATGAATAAGCATGGGGGAGGTTATAAAGTGATAGGCTTTCGCCATAAAAAGCACGATTGTCATAAATCAGTGATGTCACCATGTATCAGCAAACCACTTTACAGCACTCCTTTTTCCTTCTATGGGTGTGCTCGATTTCAGGGACGGCAAAAACCTCCAACAAAAGTTCTGGAGTTTACTGGGGGAAAAGAGCGATCTGGATTTGTGGATTCTGAATTCAGAATCTTTATAAAATTATTATTCTCAAGTGTCTATCCCCTTTGAGCTTCTGGCAAGCTTCATATTTTCTGGAGGAAATGTTAAAGAATATCAAAGATTAATTAGCATCATTAGCACATAACTATCCCAGCATCCTTACAAATTTCTTGTAAGTGGGTCAAAGGTGCTCCATGAAAATGGTATCTACAACACTTTCTCCTTAGTGAATGCAAAACTTGTCTCCTGCATTATGCCATCTCCTCAATTAATGCGGTTTGCGTTAATGAGTTTTTACTATATTGAAAGGAACACTAGAATGATACAAAGAATAATTACAGAGTACGCATGGGTTCCGTGGGGAGCTGTAGTAAGGGTAAGTGAATAAGATGAGAAGAAAAAATAAAAAGAGTCAATATAACAATGAATGGTCACAGACTAGTTTCAAGGTGGGGCTTTGATGAAAAACCTCATTATGAATGTACTGATTATAGTGTGAAGATAGGACAAATTTTGCTGATGTAGGCTCAGCAAAGAGGAAGGGATGAAAGGAAATCTTTATCTCTGAGAAACTGCCTTACTCGTCTTTCATGTTTCACTTGATAGTAGGTAGGATTTATTATCATGGCTAAATCTGGGGCAGAAGAGTCAGCCAACACGGAAGCCAGGTCGTTGAAGAAGGGACTGTGTAGACATTACTAGAAATGGAAGAGATGCCTGGAAATTTGGTTAGTGTTGGGTTATGTCAGGAATGGCAAAGAGGTGCCTTGTGCCTAATTCCGACTCCTTGCTTGACATTGTTAATTGATAATACCATACTCTTTCCTGATGAGTCTGACCAGGAATTCCCAGTTCTGCTTTTCTTAGTGCAACATTTCAAGTAATGATGGCAAAGGAATCAGAATTGAAATGCTAAAGGAAGTCATTGTTTAGAACAGGTTAGTCAGGGAGAAAAATGACCTCAAGCTGGAGCTCTTTCATCAAACCTGAAGGTCTGAGATGCGGTCCATTGGGTCAGCAAGGTCTAAAAGAAGAGAAGCTAGGAGAAAGATCTGAGAAAACTGGTGTAACCAAAGAAGTCAGAGACAGGCTCCATGTAAAGAGAAGCACTGGGCACTGAGTGCTAGTGCCACACAGAGCTGGTCCCAGTGCTCATACCCTGAGTCCCCTCCCCCGAACACACCAACAAGTAGGCAGGGGAGAGGTGGGGGGAATCCGCAGGGTGGTCTCAGCTAGGGATGTTATACTGGCCCAGAGAAGAACCTATCAACGCAGAAGGCGATCAGAAATGTGGGAAAGTGGGGCGCCTGGGTGGCTCAGTGGGTTAAAGCCTCTGCCTTCAGCTCAGGTCATGATCTCAGGGCCCTGGGATCGAGCCCCACATCGGGCTCTCTGCTCTGCTGGAAACCTGCCTCCCCCTCTCTCTTTGCCTGCCTCTCTGCCTACTTGTGATCTCCGGCTGTCAAATAAATAAATAAAATCTTAAAAAAGAAAAGAAAAGAAAAGAAATGAAACGCGGGAAAGTATTGTCTCTGCCCACACAGTCTTTGGACATTTCTGAGAAGGTCCGCTGGACACCGTTACGACACTTACCTTTCTATCGTACAGCCTTCAAGACCTGGCCCGTCACAGCTGTAGGAATGGAGAGAAGAACACACATTTGAATCATTCTGCTTCTTCAGTATTTTGTCTGAATTTTTTTTTTTTTGAATATTTTATTTATTTGAGAGAGAGTGTAGAGTGAGAGCGAGAAAGAGAAAGCATGAGCAGGCGGGAGGGACAGAGGGAGAAGGAGAGACATGTAGGGCTCGATCCCAGGACCCTGGGATCATGACCCCAGTCTAAGGCAGATGCCTAGCTGACTGAGCCACCCAGGCGGCTTTTAGAGAGTTTTTAGTTAAGTCACAAGGCAACTTTTTTTTTTTTTTTAAAGATTTTACTTATTTATTTCACAGAGAGAGATCACAAATAGGCAAAGGCAGGCAGAGAGAGAGGAGGAAGCAGGCTCCCTGCTGAGCCTGATGCGGGGCCCGATCCCAGGACCCTAAGACCATGACCTGAGCTGAAGGCAGAGGCATAACCCACTGAGCCACCCAGGTGCCCCACAAGGCAACATGTTTAAATTACTCTCCAATCATTAAGATCACCAGCAATCCCCATTTTGTGGCAGTGGTTAATCTACTTTGCATTGTTTCATTTATTCATTTTCCCAGCAAGTATTTCTGAGTGTGCACTCTGTGACAGGGACTCTTCTAGCATTGAGCCAAGGGGACAGTTTCTGGCGTTTGTTATTAAGATGCTTTGATGTACACCTCGTGATACAGGTATAGTTGTCTCACGTCAGGCTCTAGGATGTCCATATGGGCTGGGGAGTAGAGGGCCCAAGACTAGAGCCAAACTGATTAAGGAGCAGGTAGGGAGGAACAGATGAGGGAAGACAAGTCTTGGTGGCAGGGAAATGACAGTGATGATTTCAGACCCAGAAAGCCAGGGATGAGGGGAGGAGCTGGCTTCATCCCCTCCCACACAACTGAAATGTGTTACATACAGCAGAGACAGCCCTGGTCTTCCATGACCCCTGAGCCGCTGGGCTCCCATTCTAGGGGGGAGGCCACCATCCCTTATTTCGATTACAGGATGATGTAAAAAGGCAGAATCCATGGGCTCTGAGAACAGCAGCGTTTGCCAATACAAACATCAGTAGGAAAGCAAAATACTCTAAACGGAAAAGACAACTCATGCTGTTGTGCAAGGATGGGCCGACAGAGCGTGATGCTAACTGAAATGAGTCAGACAGAAGGACAAATACCGTAAGAGTTCATCTATATATAGGGTCTAAAAAAAACAAACGAACAAACCAACAACAGAGATAGACTCATAAATACACGTAAATACATAAATACCACAAACCTGTGGTTACCAGAGGAAAGGGAGTGAGGGGGAGGGACATAATGGGTGAAGGGGTTAAGAGCTACAAACTTCCAGTTGTAACAACTAAGTGACGGGGATAAGGAGTACAGCATAGAACATACAGTCAGTAATGTAACAGTTCTGTCTGGTGACAGGTGGTGACTACACTTTTTGTGGTGAGCCCTGCATAATGAATAGTATTGTCCAGTCACTATGTTCTACACCTAAAACAAATATAACATTGTGTGTCAGCTGTATTTTAGTTTGAAAAAGGAGGCAGGGGAGATGACCATTTTATAGCCTGGGAAAGGATGAAGGACTACATTTCAAATTGCGAATGGGATGGGGGTGCCTTCAAGCACCCCATTTCGTATCTTAGTCAAGGGCTGGGATCTGTACACTTCTCTTGGAGGGAGAGGGTCTGTTCCGCCCTCATTTCTATACTGTCCTGCTCCTTTCCCCCCAAGGCCTTTGGGCATTCCTCTCTATATCACACACACACACACGCTTTTCCAGGCTGTGGGACGCACACTCTATGATCTCCTAGGGAAACCAAAGTCAAAGACAAAAGGCATCATTGATGAATGACCACTGACTGATAAACTCACACCCTACTCAAAATATCTCTGCTCACTTGCTTCATCCCCCACCCACCATGCCTGGCACTCCCCCAAAAGGGAACACTATGCAAAGTGAGTGCAAATGGAAATTGTGAATTTGGGGACCACATGCAGGGATTTTTGAGAAAGGCCAGTTTACATCTGAAGAGGTGACTGGCAAGGACAGAGACAGGCCAGGTGCTAGCAGAGAGTCGATCTGAGTAGCGAGATGAAGAGGTCTTTGGGAAAGCTGATTTGCAGAAATGATTGCTGAATACGAGAGGCCAACGCATATTATCCTTTTAATTGCGTCAGAAAAATTGCTCCTTATCCTCCACTCAATTCATTCTTTTCGGTTACATATAATTAGAACAAGAAACACTTCTGTCCTGCTTCTTCACCTGATGTGCTCTCACTCACCCGTAGGTACAGTTGGAATGACACAGGTGGCACACGCGATTGGCGTCTGCAAACTTCCAGACCAGGGTGTTGTTCTCTCCCATGATGCCAGCCGGACAGGTCTTGACGCAGTGTGGGCCGTCGATGTAGTGCGCACACTTGACGCAGCTGTCCGGTCCCTGTCAAGATCGAGGACGACCTCTCTATATATGTTTCTTTCTCTTTCAAAACTGAACTTGTTACTTAAAATACTTACTGTGAAAAACAGACAAATAATAATAGAAGTTCTTCAAGTAGAAAAACGACAGACTTATCTGGGATTGCCATTGCTTGACAGGACCGCTGCTAACAGCTCACTATAAAGTCTTACCAACTTTAAAGACATTTCATATATAACTATACTAAATACTTCATTACATTTTGCTTAACAGATTATGGGCATCCGTCTTTGTCAAAACCATCTAATTAGTCTATGAGTACATTTACATCTTTATTGCTGAGATGGACTTTCTTGCATAACACGTTTGAACTTAAAGAAGACTGTGGGAAGCCAGACTTGCTGAGGCAAATGCAAGAAAGCCTACATCTCTGTATTTTTAGGGACAACAAGGTGGTGGCACAATGAACACTGGACTGTGCTAACTTTGATTCTGGTACCCACACGCTTCACAAAGGGACTGAAATGAAATGGGCAGGGAGGGATGTTCCTGTTTTGTCCAAAGACTGAGTGTTCTCAGAACCAGAGCCATCAGATGACTAAAGTCAGTATCACCAACTGATTTATCTCGATGAAAATGTACCCTAACACCATATGAACTTATAAACCATTGGTTTACTTTGTAACCCGCCATGTTGGCAGCCTATGCCTCAAAACACAGCTTTCTGCCCAATTCAGAGACAACTTCTGAAAAACATTTTTAATTAGTAGATTTACGTATGGCTGTTGAAGCTCAAATCCACACACATGTCCTTATACGTAAGATTAAGAATGAACAACAGTTAGGACACTGGTGTGATGGGGGACCTGAATTCTCACTTCTATTCTTTAAAATATCACGTAGATAGAAAACTGAATTTTGGAAAGTTTTGCTAGGTGTTTCTTTAGAAATGCTCTGAACTTCTTAAACTCAACACACACAAAAAAGTCAAGAAATGGGCGTAAGACATGAACAGACACTTCTCCAAAAAAGACATACAAATGGTTAACAGACACATGAAAAAATGTTGAACATCACTCGGCATCAGGAAATACAAATCAAAACCACAATGAGATACCACCTTACACTGGTTAGATGGCAAAAATTAACAAGGTAGGAAACAACAGATGTTGGCGAGGATGTGGAGAAGGGGACCCCTCTTACACTGTTGGTGGGAATGCAAGGTGGGGAAGCTACTCAGGCAAACAGCGTGGAGGTTCCTCAAGACGTTAAAAATAGAGCTACCCTATGACCCAGCAGTTGCACTACTAGGTATTTACCCCAAAGATATAGATGTCATGACAAGAAGGGGCACATGCGCCCCAGTGTTCATAGTGGCAATTTCCACAACAGCCAAACTGTGGAAGGAGCCGAGATGCCCTTCAACAGATGAAAGGAGAAAGAAGATGTGGTTCATGTATACAAAGGAATTTACTCAGCCATCGGAAAGGATGAATATGTACCATTTACGTCGAAGGGGATGTAACTGGAGGGGATTATGCTAAGTAAAATAAGTCAGTCAGAGAAAGACAATTATCATATGGTTTCACTCATATGTGGAACATAAGGAATAGTGTGGAGGACCACAGGGGAAGGGAGGGAAAACTGAATGGGAAAAAATCAGAGAGGGAGACAAACCATGAGAGACTCTGGACTCCGGGAAACAAATTGAGGGTTTTAGAAGGGGGTGGGGGGATTGGGTAGCTGGGTGATGGGCATTAAGGAGGGCACGTGATGTAATGAGCACTGGGTGTTATACACAGGTAATGAATTGTTGAACTCTCCATCAAATTCTAACAAAGTATTATATGCTGCCTAACTGAACATAATAAAAAAGATAAAGATTTACACAAAATAAAAAAAAATGCTTTGGATAGTTGTGAACTGATGTTAAATCAGAATTTGAGGATGTTTGATTAAAGTGATGAAGCAATGATGACAGATGTCAGAAATGGTGACAACTGGCTGACCAGGTATGCAGTCTACCATAGGCTTCTTGGTAAAAGAGTAGATGTTATTAAACTTGTTAGGATGTGTTGGACAGGAAGGGTGAGTGCTCCTGTGCGATGGGGTGTGTGATGACGCCAGCTCAACCACAGCCTCTCTGGGATGCAGCTGTGAGGTCACATGTTGGCTCAGTGTTGTGGTTCTACTGCTGGGAGCCTTCTCCCTGCGATGTAGGAGGGGATAACATCAAACGCACTCCTTACCCGTCCAGTGCAGGTTACATTCATGGGCTGGGGCAGGCATTCTGGGTGGCACTGTATGCACTCGGAGTTCTCCACAAACTCCCTTGGCTCCCTGAGAGAAGAAAGGAAACTGATCAGCACTGTCTCTAGAGATCCTGCTTCAAAATGCTGGGTGGCTACAACCATCTGAGTTAATCCATCTGAAATTTCAGAGGATGCAAATCCTCTTTTCCAGCAATACCAAAAAATTTCAGGTCAACATGCAGCCGTGGGGAATCGGGACGCTACTGTGAGATCATAAAGTGACTGTATTAACTGAATCCTTGGTCATCTTCCCCCTCAACAAATATACAAGCTTCATTCATAATCCAAACATCTTCCCTGCATTTTTCTACAAGGCCCAGTTTTTGTCTCTTAGGCAAACAAGCCAATACATAAAAAAGGTCATAGTCCTTAAGAGGTGACCTCGTCCCCAACATCAGATTCATGGATATTTAATGCAAGCTGGAGAGAAATGATTAACCGTAGATTAATGTACAGGAAAAGAAAGGAGAGATGTTAGAATGTACTCCATGGTTATTAACAAAAACCATAAGTGTGCAATACAGGTGTGAAAAATTTTGCTTGTAAGAGTTTCGCTATTCCTCAGGGATCTCCAGATCAATGTTAACCAAGAAGACCACATTAGACTGAAAAGACAAAACAGTGGTGGCAGCTACTGAGGCTGAAAGCTGCCTGGGAATTAACTACAGGTCTTCATTCCAGTGAACGAGGAGTGTTTACACCCCACAACATGTTCCCTAAGTCCTCCCTCATGTCCTCAACTAAACCAAATATGCCCAAATGGTTTTTTCCTTCCCTTCGTCCCTGAGTTACAATGCCTGCGGGAGGAGCCCATCTTGAGGGCTGAGCACTTGCTACCAGACACCGACATTCTTAATAGAAAGGCACCACCAACACGATTATTTGAATTCCTTCTCTTTCTCTCTCTCTCTTTTTAAAAGATTGTATTATTTATGTGTGAGAGAGAGAGAGCGCACACAAGTGATGGGGCGGGGGCGGGGGTGCGGGAGAACCAGGCTCCCCGATGAACAGGGAGCTTGATGTGAGGCTCGATCCCAGGACCCTGGGATCATGACCTGAACTGAAGGCAGACGCTTAACCGACTGAGCCACCCAGGTGCCCCAGTTCCATCTCTCTTTAAAAAGATGTGGAAACCATGAGACTCATGTCTCTTTTGGAGCAGTAAGGACTGCATGGATATTTCTTGTTGAAACAGCACTGTCAATTATACAACATACTCCGTCAGGTTACTGAGCCGATCTGCTAAAGTGTTCATACAGAACTGGACTTGGTCTTCTCATCTTGCTCCTCAATATTTCTGGATCTGTGCTATGGCCCAGACCCCGAGAGTGAAACAAGAAGGGAGGTTTCCTGTACTCATCTGTAATTCCTATGGCTCCTTCTCTCTGACAAAATTTCCCGTTCTTTATATTAAAAAAAAAAAATGCTTCTGCCTCTGTTCTTCAATTGTACTTTCCTATTAATTTATTTTTAGTCATTATTCGAGGATCTTCAAAGCTTTATATCCATCTCAAGATTCCCAGAGAATCGACAGACTGTACTTTCTACTGATTGCAGATGAATTCAAGAGTGGTTACGTGGTTGTTTATTCCTTTGTCCATGGTTACATTTAAAGTTATATGCACGGTTCAATATTTCTTGAACATAAAACAAAAAATTAATGAGGAAATGTAATTTATATTACTTTTGACAAAGCAGGAAGAGTGTCTCGCAAAGAAAAGTCTAGATGACTGTGGTCTCGGCCATATGAACCACTTATGACTTTTTCGTCTGTCTCAGGAACTTTGTGTGGCTTAGAAAAATAGCAGATTTCCAAAACAGAGACTCTATAAATTGGTGGATTGGCGTTAAGTCATGAAAAACATTTGTTCATTTCCTTTTGTGATTAACAGCTGTCAACAAATATACGACAAAAAAAAAAAAAAGGAAAAAGAAAAAAAAAGCAATAGGATCAATGTGAACAACCGTAAAACTATAAAAACAATCTCCTTATCTTTTAGCAAAATCAAGGGGGTACAAAAGAACCTTACCCCTCCAGAACATTGCACTTCTCCACACATTCCTTGCCCCGGCTGACGTTTCGGCAGGACACACAGTCTTTCGGCTCTGGGCCCCAGCAGCCCTCTGATGAGCACAAAGGATGGCAGACGTGGCCCATGGCCTCTGGGAAGACAGGGTGAGCCACAAGGGGTCAGCTGCAGCACAGTGACTAGAGCGGCCAAGCGTGAATGTACCCACACCGGTAAATGAGGTGCTGGGTTCTTTGTGACCTTGAGCATCATGGACGTGTGGAGGGGGAGGGGTGCAAAGAAGCAGGGACACCCAATTGGCTTCTCGAGGCCAAATGCAAGTTCCCTTCTCCCCACTGAGAGTCAAGGGTTCCTGGACTGGACCTGGGCAGCATTCCACTGATGAATGTCACAGCTGATGGAAACACCGGGAAGGTTTGTGGTTCCTGCCATGTGCTGAGCACCGGGACAAGAGTTTTACATGTAAAAATTTCATTTCATTCTCTCACTGGCAGCAAGAATCATTGCCAAAGCCTGAAGAAACTATGTAAACTGATCAAGGTCTGGAAGCTAGGAAGGGCTAGAATCGGGGTTTAAACGCAGACCTGCTTCTCCCAGTGACCAGGCAGTGCGCATGCCCAGCTTCCACAGTGGCCTATGGCTTCCCCAATCAGACTAGGAAATGTCAGTTAAAATGTTCCTTCTATCTGCAGGCGTGTGCATGTGTGTGCGTGTGTGTGTGTGTTGCTAGCTACGGTCATCAGAGGCTGAAATGAACAGGGAGAAACCTATGGCTAACAGGTAAAATAATTAATACAAAATTGATTTCCGTTAATTACAAATAATCGATAACTTAAACCTCAAGGCAAATTCATCCTGTGAAATGTGCGTGAACTGGAAACAATTCCAAGGAATTTCGTATGATAACTTCACAAATTAGGAATACACAGATTTCTTTTAATCTGCTTCTTCAGGAATGAAAATGTAATTGAAATGTTTGGGAATATTCTAGATTAAAATAAACGACCCAAGGGAACCATCTCCACAATCAGCTAGAGTGATTACTTACTGCAGCCTTTTTCATCTTTGTTGTTTATAATTTTGGTTTTTTGACTTGAAGTCCCAAATAGTTTTTTCCAGTTTATTGTATTCGCATAGCACAATTTTTTGTTTCCCGAGATGATCACATCCCCATCACTTATCTCCTTGAGGGAGCGTAAGCCCAAGGACGTTATGTCCAGGCCGACGACCGCAAGAGAAAACTGACCACTACAGTGGAGAAAGAAACATAACATTGTGAACAATTACAAAAAGATTCTATCACTAAAAACCTTATTTTTATTTTCTGGACCACCTTATGTTTACTACAAACTGCTTGCCAGCGACTGTAAGTCATACTGTAGTATGTCTTTATTGCAACTTACAAGAGGGTTTTTTAAGCAACTCTAGGGAAAAGCTAGTTCCTTGTTCACTTAGTATTTTTAACTTCAGTGGCATATGGGGGGCTGAATAAATGTTAATATCATTATTATATTTACTGCATTTTTTTTTGGCCTGGGGATTGAAAGCATGTTCTAACCTTTTAAATATCCAAATACTTCAAAAAAAAAATCACAAGTTCATTTTTTCCATCCACCCACCCACCCATTCATCTATCCATCCATCCACTCACCCATCTATCCATCCACTTGTCCATCCACTTATCTATGCGTGCATGCGTCCATCCATCCTTCCACCTCTCTGTTCATCCATCCATCCACCCATCTGTCCATCTGCCCACTCACCTATCTATTCAGCCATGGATTCACAATCCATCCACCCACTCACCCATTTGTCTCTCAACTTGTCCATCCACTTATCTATGGATACATGCGTCCATCCATCCATCCTTCCACCTCTCTGTTCATCTATCTCCACCCATCTATGTACTCATCTAGCATCCACACATCCACCCATCCATCCAACTACCACTCATCTATGTATTCATCCATGGATTCATAATCCATCCATCCACTCACCCATCCAGCTATCCATCCATCCATCTATCCACTCATCTATCCATTCATTCATGGATTCATCCATCCAACCACCCACTCATCCATCCATCCATCCACTGATGCACTGATCCATTCACCACCCATCCATTTATTGAACAAACATTCAAATGACCCAACTCTGTGCTAGAACTCTATATGGCTATCAATGGGTTTTCATCAAGTGACTGGATGAAAGTAATTCACACTGAAGGGAGGGAAGTCTTCAACCACCAGGCAGGGCAGGAAGGCAAGAAAGCAGCTGATGGTGCTGAGAACCAGGGGCTTCTGCTGGAGCAGAAACCTGGAAGTGGGGAGGCCTGGGCAAAAGGTCTGGGAAGGTGGAGGAGGCCAGAGCACAGAAGACCTTGGACACCTTGAGCTTGGCTGTTGTCTGCAAATGATGGAAACCACAGGAAAGAGATCTGTACTTTTAGGAAGCTCACAGGACACCAGGACAGAAAATGGACCAGTGGAGACAGCACTGAATGAGGAGATATCAGGTAAGAGGACAAGTTTAAAGTGGAGATTCCTGCTCTCCTTGTTTCTCTTTCTCTCCCGACACCATCCTCCTCCTCCTCCCTTCCCACAACCTGGCTCCTGAGGAAAGTGAGGAGGCCTGTGTAGGAGACCTGTAGCACTACCATTTAGAAATTCTCTCTTGCCATGTGCCCACAGAAGCCTAGACCCTGGGACAAAGCCGGAGTACCCTTCCCTTGGTGAGCCACACCTGGAGCTGGTGGTCACCCTGTCCCTGTGTATCACTGGACTCCTCATTAAATGTGAAAAGAAAAAAAAAAGTGATTCTAATTTTATTTAAATTCCTATTACTAAGTCAAGTGGTACATCCCTGTCACCCCAAAAAACTGATCTAACTCTCTTGTCTCTGCATGAATCTTGGGCAAAAGAAGTATTTTTGAGAACTCAAAACAAAAGGGTTTTTCTGTGCAGTTAGTATCAGAGATGCACAGACATGATGGTTTTTAAAAAGCAATATATAATTTATGTGTACTTGTTCTGATATTCTTTAATATTGAATATCATGTTTTAGGGTCAATTAACGGGTAATATTTCTAAGCATCAGACTGTTTTGTTTTTTTAAAGATTTTAAAATAATTTTTTTGTAGATTATTAAGGTTTTTTTTAAAATTTTTTATTTGATGGACAGAGATCACAAGTAGGCAGAGAGGCAGGCAGAGACAGAGAGAGGGAAGCAGGCTCCCCGCTGAGCAGAAAGCCTGATGCGGGACTCAATCCCAGGACCCTGGGATCATGACCTGAGCCGAAGGCAGAGGCTCTAACCCACTGAGCCACCCAGGTGCCCCTAAAATCAATTTTGACAGAGAGAGACACAGAGAGAAAGGGAACACAAGTGGAGGGAAGGGTGGAGGGAGAAGCAGGCTTGCTGCTGAGCAGGGAGCCCGATGTGGGGCTTGATCTCAGGACCCCACGATCATGACCTGAGCCAAAGGCAGAAGCTTAACGACTGAGCCACCCAGGCGCCCCCACATCAGACTGTTTCTAAGGCAGGTTTGACAAAGAGATTCTCAAACTCTTCCTTCCCACAAAACTCATTATTACTCTTACCATATCAAAGATACTTATATGTGATTTTTTTTTTCTGTCAGAGTTGGAAAAGGGGCAATCCTGAACAAAACACTTAATGTTAAAAAGTCTCTCCACTCCCTCTGATAAGATGTGCTCATAAGGACATGTCACCTCAGTGCTCTTTTTGCCAAAAATGCACAACCTCAATCGAATCATGAGGAAACATCAGCCATTCTACAGAATGTTTGACCAGCACTTGGTAAAACTGTCAAGGCTATAAAGGATAAGAGCAGAAGTTGGGAGGGTTAGAGATGAGAAGGGACTGAGAAGACGCAACAGCTAAGTGCAACATGGCACTCACAGGCTAAATCTGAATGATGTCTGGTGCTGGGGTCAACACCACGACACTGATGGTAATTCCGCCATTTTGTCCTTGTACCATGCATAGGTGAGAGGTTATCAATCGTGCAAGCTCTCTGGAGGGTCTTTATAGCAGCTGTGTAAGTCTAATTTCGAACTCTTCATGTGGTCTTATTTTCAGAATAGATAAATAAATAATCTACCAGGCTTTGCGCAGGGTCAACTTACTGTTGCTTTGTTCTTCCACGTATGATTTCTAGGTTCTCAAAAGCATGGAGGTCAGTCCTGTTTTCGGGCCAGGCCTGAATCAGCAGAAACCCTAGAAAGGCAAGAGGAGGGCTCAGACACCCACCAATTAGAAATGTCTTCTTTAGGAGACATTTTAGGATTCTTGAGACATTGTTAAATAACAATGTCAGGGGAGGTGAAGATTTGATTTTTTTTGTTATCTTCACCGAGAATCTACCCATGGGTAGATAGAAGCCAAGGCACAATTTTACAGCGGGCACCTGCCTCTCTTATAGAATTCCCATCCCTTGCTGCATCTCTCGTACCACACAACTTGCCCCACAGCCATCCCACGGTGCCACGGCCCTGACAGCTGGGCCGGGCTCCAAAGCTGAAGACCCAAACTCTCTCTGCTCTTGACGGCAACCGCCATGTTTTGAGCTATCAGCACACAGAAGGAGATTCACATATTTTCCTTACTTAATTCCAATCCTCAAAATCCTTGTTATTTAGGTTCAATTACTCCCTTTTTAGGGGGGAGGGCAGGCACGTGAGGGCCAGTCTGTGGGCCCAAGAGCCTGTGTTGTTCCCTCGGGGTTCTGCCCTTCTTTTCCCCCACCCTCAAACGTCACTGGGCCATCAGGACGTCTGGCCAGGGCCGAGGAGACGAGGATGAAACATGTTCACAGGGATGACTCAAGGCTCTGATTAAAGTGTTCACCCCTTCCATGCAGGGGAAATTGCGACTGTGAAAACTATCAAAGAACTCACTAGTCATTAATGGTAGAAGTTCAGAAGAAATGTTTTTATGATGCTGAGAGAGAAGCAGAGGCAGCCACCAGTTCTCTCTCTAAAACACCCATTTCCCATTCATGTTCATGTGACATGGTAGCCGCACACACCTGTTATTTCCTTTACGGTTTTAAGAATGTCCAGTTCCTTTGGATCGAGAGGCAGAGTACGCGTGAAGGAGTCACTGAAACAAGTAACAGAATGATCATTAACAGTGTCTGCTGTGAACAAAGTGGATTTTGCATTTCCCTGTTCCAGTCACTTCCTCTGTTACTTACCCTCTAAACGCTACAGGCAGGATATGAAGATCTCCGCTGATTGATGTGCAATTTTTGAAGTGTTTAATATTTGTAGCATTTATGGAAAGTGTGTCTTTAAATTCGCCAATGCCTATTCCATTACACACTGTAAAGATAAGGGAGATGTTTATTCCCTTCACACATGTTGAATTCAGAAGAGCTCGGGTTCCCTGCGCGGAGGAGAGTGGGAAGAGAATTGTAGCCATGAGCCCGTCACTACACGCCATCACTCGTTCCTTCGACAGGAATGCAGGCCTGCTGGTACCAGTAATGAGGGTGAGGGCTTGGGCTTTGGGTGGCTGGAGAAGGCAATGGTGTCCTCATGGCTGGTGATGCCCTCAGCTGGGCTTGCATTCTCCTCCTCACAATTTTCCCACTATAGGACTTAGCCCAATTGCTCTCCCCCATCCCTCCTTGGCAGTGGGATCCAGCTGCTGATGCCAGGGCTGCCTCTGCCCAGCTCTCGTCAGGCCACTCCTCTGACTAAAACTTGACACCTTTCTATGGTCCTAACCTGGGCTGCAGCTCATTGTCTATTTTATTTTTTTTTCTAAGAGTTTATTTATTTATTTGACAGATGGAGATCATAAGTAGGCAGAGAGGCAGGCAGAGAGAGAAGGGGAAGCAGGCTCCCCGCTGAGCAGAGAGCCCGATGCGGGGCTCGATTCCAAGACCCTGGGATCATGACCTGAGCTGAAGGCAGAGGCTTTAACCCACTGAGCCTCCCAGGTGCCCCCATTATCTATTTTAAAGAAACAATGGACCTGGATTATTTTTATTAAAAAGAGCAAGATGTGTTCATTTGAGAATGCTGCAAAGTAGAATCAAGGGACCAAAATGACCAGAGTTTCCACTGTAGGATATTTTGAGAAATGTTATTTCCAGCTACCCTCCAGGGTTATGTCATACCAGATTATGTAGTTTTTTTTGTGTTTTCTTTCTTTTACTTCTTATGCTGTGAACGTTCCTCATATTATAAAAACTATTTACGAACATGATTTTTAATGGCTGTCTTACATTACGTCATAGGGAATACTATAATAACTTTCATCAGATAAACTGCTTTTCTTCCCCTGTGTTTACTTGAACCAAATGCTTTGATCTGTGTCCTATTGCTACATCAGTCTCAAAGGCCCTTTTCCACACTCCAAGCCCCTTTATTAATTCATATCCACTCCTAAATTTCCATCTCAAATGCCATCTCCACCCTAAAGTCCACTTATCTGTTGTAATTCTCCCTCTAGAATTTGCAGAGCAATTTTGGTGCCTATCTTCCAGACTTATCTTGACTTTGAAGTATAATCACTGGAAATCTCATTGCTCAGGATAAGGTCCTGTTCTTTCCTCGCCCCGGGTTCTAGGAGGAGCAGTTAAGTTCTGCTGCCCGCCCCCTGTCCCCCATGCCCTTGTGCTCCGCTCCACTGGGAGTCCCTTGTTGCTTGTAGGGAAACTGGCCATCGCTGACTCCGGTGGCCAAGACTGGGTCTCCAGGCTCACCCTGTGGGCCATGTTTCTCTCTGGTTCTGAGGAGCTGCTCTAAGGAGTCCTGGGTTGAAGGGCTCAATCAGCCTTCTCGGGCTGCATCTAACACACTGTGGGTTATGGGACTCGGGGCCAGGCTTCTTTAGGATTCACAGGGTCTGGCTAACAATGGAGAATGAGGGGGCCCTATGAGGACTTGCCATTTAATTACAGGTCTGGCAGAGAATTCCATGGGTTGGAGAGAATACTCAGGCTCTCTCTCTCTGCTTGTGCGTGACAGTGTGGTGGGGTTACTTAAATCCTAAATCCAGAGACCAATTGTATATTCACCCCTAGACTTCCCTGGCACCACCTTCCTTACCCAGGGGTACTGCCCTATAGCCAAAGGGATTGGAATCGGGGATGTATAGAAAAATAGGGAATGATAATTACAGGTGAATCAAACTGTTTGTTGAACACAAAATTAACAAAACCAAACCAAAACCATCTCTGATTCTATCAGTCCATTCGAAGATGCTGACAGTAACCCTCTCTCTCGTACTTCCCCTATGCCAAGTACTACCCCACATTCTCATTTTTCTCCTTCCATGTCTGCTCTGCCAGACAGTCTCCTGAAGCCAAAGGATACTCTTCCATCAGGGCACCCGCCCCAACTGCCCCACAGGAGTTACAAGACCAGGAAGACATGGACTTGGCCCACAAGCTCATGGGTCTGGCTTGGGACCTCGACTGCACGAACTTCAAATCTCGACTGCCATTCTTAGCTGTTGAAACTTGGGCAAGGCATTGAGATTCTCTGTTACTCAGTGTCCTCATCTGTAGAATGGGGATCCTAATAACAGACTTCCCCATGGTGTCGGGAGGATTCAATGACATGGAACAGGGAAGGTGACTCTGCCCCATGGGGACACCTGTGAAATGTGAAACGGGAGTAAAGAGGGGAGTGATCCGTTTTGACTGAAAAGACTGATGGCTTCCCAGGGAAGGTGGCACCGCAAGTGGACACCCAAGGTAAGCAGCTATGCACTCAGATGTTATTTGTAATAGCAGAAGAGTGTAACAGTCTAAATGGCCATATAAAGGGAGATCCATTGAATAAATCATGGTACGGCCACAGAAGGGAGCCTACACAGCTGTACCACAGGATGAAGAAGATTTGTATGACTTTATCTGGAGTGATTTCCAGGGCCTATTAAGGTTAAGAAGCAAAGTTCAGAGTGTAGGTAGTACCTTTTGAGTAGAAGACATGACTGGGATCTGGGATGTGTGAAAGGGACACAGGAGGCATCTGGAGAGGCTCCTATTGGCCACATGTGGGACAATCCAAGTACCCAAATGAATGACAGGAACAGACAAGAAACTGAATAAAGAAGATTTCATTACCTCACATAGGAACTAATTTTTTTTTTAAAGAATGTCAGTAAATAAATGGGATGACAGAAAAAGAAAATCACTCTTTTATACCCACCAAGAAATCTTATCTAATCTGTCACCATCAGTAATGCAATAACATGGCATCATATGTCACCTGATTTGATACAGTGAGAGGAAATCAACATGACCTAGGCAACGCTCCTGTCCCAAACACCCAACTAGAAGGCGGCCATGAGGAAAAACAGTCAATGAAGCCAAACTGAGGGACACTGTGCAAGACACCTGGGCTGGACACTTCACGGCTGGTCATGGAAGACAGAAGAAAAGCAAGTGAGGGGAGGGGGCTGAGACACAGCAGTTGACCAACAAAGAGAACGCAGGCAGGACATCTACATGAAACCCATGATCCTTGACTGGGTTCTGGACTGAGAAGAAGCTAAAAATGACTTACGTGGGACAGGAAGGGGAAGCCTGAGTTGAACTGGGTACTAGAAACGACTACTGAGTTGATGTTAAGTGATCCTGATGTGAACTCGTCTTTCATTACTTAGGAGAATGTCGCCAATTGTAAGAAAACATGCTGGCAAATGTAGGGGTGCTGTGTTGCAATTATCTGTAACTGTCCTCTAATTCAGAAGAAACTTGTGCCCGAGCACGCACACACGTACAGACACAAGTATGAAGACAGTGAAAGCAATGGGGCCAAACATTACAAAGTGGGGAATTTATGTGAAAGGCAACAAGCTTCCCTTGGCCAGGGGTTCCGTCCCACCAGCTGGGTTCTATGTCGAGCCACTGCACTACTCTTGCAACATTTCTGGGTGTTGGGAAGTTTTTACAAAAAAAATAAAGTAAAAGGCATATTAAAAAGCAGGAGTAAATTGGCCTTGAGGAGCCTCCAAGAACAGGGCATGATATGAAGGCAGGAAGAAATTTCTGAGCCTGAAGGAAGAGATGAGCTCAGATCTCTTCCAAGTGTGATGCTGAGGGGGCCTGGAGGACCCCAGCTTCATGACCAGACGGAAAGCCTTGTCCCCACACCCCATAGGCTTCCTACCTTTGCGGCAAGGCCCCTCACACTTCTTACACTTGCGGACTCCATCTTCCTCTACCTCGTAGCTGTCAGAGCTGCAGGCACGGACACACGAGCCATGGTCGGTCACCACGTAGTTACCTGCAGGGACAAGGAAGGAAGGTGACGAAAGCCACACCAGGTGTTCCGGGCCTCACACAATCGCCTCATGTTCTCCTATAAAGGGGCTGATGAAAAGGGCCTCTAACCCTCTGGTTTTATTTACTTGAAGGACAAAGAATGAAAGGTTGCCCTCAGAAAAGGAGTCAAGTTCAAGAGTTTTAACAGCTTATCAAACCATGGTATGGAGAAATATAGCTCATCACAGGCAGGAAATGGATGGGGCAGACAGAGCCTGGGGTGTGCTCACAGGTTCGAACATGTCTTTGCAGCTCATTTTTCTGTCAACTGGACCTTCATGACCTGTGGTTAAAGTCTGAATGTTTATTTAAAATACGTGACCTTGAACAAAGCCCACTATTCCGTATCTGAGGATGGATGTAATTCCTGTGGCCAGCGTGCTGCCTTCTATGGTCCCGTCCAGCCCAACAAGCTTCCCTTGGCCAGGGGGTCCGTCCCACCAGCTGGGTTCTATGTCGAGCCATGCACGTTCACCATCTCCTGAGCCTCCCCTCCCTCTGGAGTAACCTACTTGTGTTAACATTAACACAAATATCAATATGTTTCTGGGGCTCTATGTGTTCCCATTTTGACTTCCCCAAGTATATCCTCAAACATATTTACCAGACATTTGCGATTTTTCCTTCTATAAATTGTTTGCCTCTGCTCTCAGGCTCTGGTTTCCTGTGGGTTTTTAAACTCTACCTATTAAACTCTCCCTCAAAGATGACACCTGTGTCATCACTGTGGCAATTTTTTAAGACTTTAGTTCGTTCCATTCTATTTCTGTTTTTTTTTTTTTTTTTTGTTTTTTTTTTTTCTGTATAGGATTTTAAAAAGTTTTTGTGTCCACAAATCTGGTCGGGCAAATCTCCCCCTCATAGCTGGGCTTCCAATTTTTTTCTCTTGATCTCCCCTCCTAGAAATCAAGATTGATTTCTAATGCTCCTTTAATTCAACAACTCTACACTTTCTCTATGAGGACAAAATTCCCATCATCATTTCCCTGAACATTAGAGCCACCTGTTGACGCAAACACAAATGAGCAAAACCCAACCCAAAACAATTCAAACAAAACCAAACAACACACAAAGGGAGTCCTCTGAAGTTTTAGTTCCCTAGAACTAGAACTCTTGTGAAGAGGCACAATTTTCACCAGACTCTTAACCACTAAAGAAGGCAGGTTTTCTGACATGCTCTCTCGTTTAGGTCGTTTCAAGACCTGCTGGGCATAAGAGCTAAACAGTGAAGTGGCCCAAAAAGACAACCGAATATCTGGACGGTTATTATAGCTGGACCTCAGTCCCTGTCCTGGCCCCCACAGACTCCAGAACAGACGCTGGTCAACTGCGCACCAGCCATCACCTGTCACCTGTGGCGGTGGCCTGACTTCTCACCCTTGCACTTGGTGACCTGCCACACAGTGAGGCCAACATAATGGACCCAAACACTCCCCGAGACAAGGGACTCCAGGATCCCGGGGGGAGACAAAGAGGAAAGAGATGCCTGATAAGTGAAAGGGTTTTGCATGTGATGAACTCACGGGGGCACTTCTTCACGCAGGTGGCACCAAAGCTGTATTTTCCCTCTGGGTTGACGTCCATCTGGTAGGTGGTCGGGTTGTAGAGCATGAGCGGCGGGCAGGTGTCCTTGCATGTGGTTTCGTCGCGGAACTTGCGGCACACCTGTCACAGGAGGGACGGCATGCCCTGGTCAGGCTGGGCAAGGATGCTCAGGGCTGTTTTGACTCCAGGCACAAAGCTCGGGTTATAATTCTTGACGTCCAGGATTTGATTAAAGCAAAACCAAGCAATCCCTGCCCTCCTGCCCCACAAAACTAGTGAAACACTTTCAGAAGAGTCGGAAAGACCTTAAAAGTACGATTTTTCTTGTACTGTCCTAGCTGTGATAATTTACGGATTATGATGATAAAAACCCACATCTTTATTAATTTACAAATGATGACGGAGTTCACCTGCTGACGGGTCCCTGTGGAGTGAAATTAGTTTTAAACTCAATCTCCTGGGTTTCCCGCATAGAGGACTCATGAGGATGGGTTTTAGAATGTGTTGCCAAACTGCAGAAAACGCTAATGGGGAAGGCTGCTGTGCAGAGGCGACCAGACCACAAACACAGTGACCCGAAGACCCCCAGGCCGTCTCCCCTCCAGCCCATACCAACCCGGTCAAAACCCCTGGGGCCAGATGCAGTCTCTGGCATTTAAAAACCTCTCCCTCCCTGAAACGGGAGTCTTCTGGATCCCACCTTAGGTGGGCCTCCTCCTCTGGAGCCCATGGGCATCTCCTGGCACTTGGGGCTGCGTCCAGGGCTCGTGTCTACCGGCCCTCATGTCTCTAGGACGCCCAAGGTGCGCACTATGGGGGCCACCTCCGGGTGGTGCCCACCGCCCACCAGAGCAAGGAGGTTTTCGTCAGGGCTTTCTGCAGTAACAGGGACAAGACCCAGTGCTTCGGGCCCCCCTGGGGCGGGGGTGGGCAGGAGGCTTTGAGCTGTGCTGGGGATGGGTCAGAAGAGCTCCAGCCATGCGTTCAAGTCTGTGCGGCTCCAGGGACATGCCTTACCGTCTCTGTGTATTTATGCTAAGGGGCCTTCCGGTGTCAACTCCGTGGGTTTAGACTGAGATGGAACGACAGAGAGTGTGACAACAGAGCTGATGGCCACCAAGAACGCTAAGGACAGACAGCTCATATTTAGTACTGATGCTCGTCCCACGGCCAGGCCCCGGTCACGGATGGCACGTGCACTGGGTCATCGGAGCACTTAAAAGGCGCTGTTTACTACACATCATGCTCAGGCGAGGAAACTGAGGCACGGAGGGGTCAGAGTATTTGCCTGAGGTCACCAAGTAAGTGGCGAAGGCGGGACGATAGAGGAGGATTTGTCCCCCCGGTAAGTGCTCCCACAAGTGTGATTTGGTGATTTCTCCCACAGGAAGCCCCTCTCAGCCATGGCAAGAGAAGCCCCCCCCCCGGGGGGTGGTTGGCTGTGGGTGGGGGGCGGGGTGAGCCTTACCAGACAGTCGCTCTCGCGGGGCCCCGTGCAGCCGGCGGCACACTGGTTGTGACAGCAGTCGCTGGGGGACCTGCCGCGGCAGCGCCCTGAACACTGCTGGGCGCAGATGATTTTGGTCACTGAAAAGGAGCAAAGGTCACTGGTGAGCTCAAGAGCCAGGGAGGGTGGAAGGGCCACCCCTCAGGCATCCTGCAGAGCCCTTGCAAACGGTGGGTGAAGCAGCCAACAGGGGGTGAATTCAGCGGTTCCCCAGCTTGTTAGGGCTCCGAACCTTCGCGTTCCGCCAAATCACACCGAATTGTGACCTTTTCTTTTTTTTTTTAATTTAATTAATTTTTTTGACAGAGAGAGAGATCACAAGTAGGCAGAGAGGCAGGTGGGGTGGTGGCAGGCTCCCCGCTAAGCAGAGAGCCCAATGCGGAGCTCGATCCCAGGACCCTGAGATCATGACCTGAGCTGAAGGCAGAGGCTTAACCTGCTGAGCCACCCAGGCGCCCCAGAATCGTGACCTTTCTGTATTCTGCCTCTTTTTCCCACTGATTTTCAGTCACTTCGGAGGACTGCCCAGGTCAGGGCTAGACTTTTAGCCACACTCAATAATTACGCGTTAGTTAGGACTGAGATTTGTGGTGATATGGAAAATACCATCCGATAATAAATGTGCCTGCCGGAAAGTGGTAAGTAAAAGGAAGAAACTGTCACGTCATAATTAAACCGAAGGGCAGATGGTGAAATTTGAGGCAGAGGTCCCCAGATCCCTTGGCCACCCGTGCTCCCAAATGAGGGTTCCTGTAGAAAAACCCTCCTGCAAAGTACGCTCTTTCTTCAGTAGACACGCCCCCGAGGGAAAGGAAACCAGAGGGTCTGGTGACAGGTAACAAGGGCAAGTCTTCCGTTCCCAGGAAGATATGCCAACCCCATGGTTCAAAGAGACGGGCTGGCTTGTGCGTGGCTGCCTTCCACTCATTCATGGCAGACGGGGGTGCCCCGACCAGCCCACGGTGGATCAACCACATGCACCGAGATCGGCAAGACCGTCATTCTCACGACTGCTCCCATCCGACCTTCCGGAGTCTCCCAAGGGAAAAGGCACACAGTCTGCTGCATGGAAGGGGAGGAAAGCAGACACCATTGATCTGAAATGCTGCTTGCTGACTTACATTTCTGGCAATTCTCCTTTCCCGGACCCCAACAACTTCCATTGGGACAGCTCGGATCACACTTTTGGCCTAAAATGTAAAAGTAATAGTTAAATTCATATCTCAGGGGAAGAGAACGGTGGGGGGAGGAGGTGGGATACTGGTGGTGGCAAGCCCCGGAGCAATGTGATGTTCCAGAAACAAGGAGCAGCTCCCAAATTTCTAATTCTCCATTTGTCTATTTGCTGGCTGGTTGGTGAGGTGACTCAAATGACTCTCATGGAAAAAAAAAAAAAGATGAACCGCGTTCTGTTTTTATTTATGTTTCAGCAGCAGAAACTCAGGCAGAAAGTAATGAGTGACTTCTCACAGCTGTGAACACTGGGGTTCAAATGGTCCAGTTTCCACATGTGTTCAGGCTTGGAGAATTTTCCAGCCTCTCCAACAGTGCTAAGGGTGTCCAGTCTGGTGGGGTGGGTCTGAACCACTGCATTCCCACTCTGCCTGTCTCGAGTGACCTGAGGGTCAGTGATCCTGGGGGACCTGGGATCCTGCTAATAAAGACCCCTAGACCCAAAGCCAGACAGAGGCAGGGAGCATGGCCCAAAGGGTCAAATATTCACAGTGTGTGTCCCCTTGCTGATCAGCTAAACGTTAGCTATTAATTTGTGAGCTACCGCGTGGAAATATTTGATGTCGATCAATCAGTGTTTGCAGGAATCAACTACAGATTATAGCTGCAGAGGTCTTCTAATCTCACTAGTTGTGTTTTTGTTTTTACTAGCATGGAGATACTTGAAGACCAAAGCCTCTCACCTGTATAAAGAGAACAGGTTGGGGGATGAACATCAGGGAGGGTATGTGCTATGGTTGAGTGCTGTGACTTGTGTTAAGACTCATGATTCACAGACCTGTACCCCTGAAGCAAATAATACATTATATGTCAGCTTAAAAAGAGAGAGAGAGAGAGAGAGACTGAGAGAACAAGTCGACCACCAAAGTTTGTTAAAAAGAGATCAGCTGTGCAGGTATATTTCACAGCAAAGACACGGGAACCTACAGGAGTTCCTGTATGTCCCAAAGCCTCCCACAGTCAGGAAGAATTTAATTCCTGGTAGAATCTAGGTTTCAGATGGGAAGAGCTGATGATTTCCTAAGTTACTGTGGAACCAGGGCACCCCTTTCATGAGACGCAATATCCTTCCCATCACCCCAGGGGTGGAGGCTGGCAGTGCAGTGCTGGTGCTCCTAGGAATCAGGAGACACGGGGAGGCCAAACCCCAGATGCACGGCGTGGGCTGTGCATTGTGAAGCAGAGGGACAGAGACAGAGAGACGGGAAGAACAAAGCAGTACACGGAAGTGGTGAAAGTGCTTGTGTCTGGACCATGAGACATTCTTTTTTCTCTTTACCCTATCCTTCCTCATAATTCTCAAACCCCTTATAAACATGTAATGGGTTTACAAAACAAAAACATTTACAATGAAAATGCTTAATGGCCTCTTCCTGTAGTGGAGACAACATCTGCTGACCCATGAATCAAGGTTTGCTTATAATTCTATTATTAACCCTCTGTTACAAAAAAGGAAATGTAGGCAAATTACATAAAATATGGATAATAGAGAAAAGCAAGAGGAGGAAATGAGAATCATCCAGAGGTAATCAATATACATATACAAGCATATGCATATATATGAATTGACGTCACACTGTACTTTGTATCATAATTAAAATAAGCTAATAAAAATGTTACGGCAATTTTTCCATGGCTTTAAATATCCTTTTACATAACATGATTTTCTTTTTTTAGAAAAAGATTTTATTTATTTGTTTGCGCGAGAGCAAGAGAGAGTGAGAGCATGAGCAGGGGGAGGCACGGAGGGAGAGGGAGAAGCAGGCTCACCACTGAGCAGGGAGCCCGATGCAGGACTCGATCCCAGGACCCAGAGATCATGACCCGAGCGGAAGGCAGATGCTGAACTGTTTGAGCCACCCAGGCGCTCCCGTAACATGATTTTCAACGGCATGGCTATACCATCATTTCTTTAGCTAATCTCTTATTTTTAGATATGTAAGTTGTTTTTAAAATTCATTATAGGTAAGGCTGCAAGGAGTATTCTCGCACAAAAGCATTTTTCTATATCCTTATGCTTTTCACTCGCCTTACTATTTTTTTCTTTGTATTCCTAGACACGAGGAGTGCATACTTTAAAGCTTTAATACATATTGCTAAAATTCTACCCCTGACTGTATTTTATTGGTGTATTTGCCCACAAGAAGAGGATGAGGATTTCTGCTTCTCGACACCTCTCCTCATCCAGGTATCTAAAAGTCAAAAGGAATCCAAATCTTTTGCAAAGGCAAAAAAGATGCTTCTTTATTTTGACCTTTTTAAAGTTACAGTAAGGAATTACATTTTACTTTATTTCTTAGGTATCATGTGTGTGTTGGGGGAGCACAAACTGCTCATGTCTTTGGCCCTTTTTTTTAATTTTAAAGATTTTATTTATTTATTTTATATATAGAGAGAGATCACAAGCAGGCAGAGAGAGGAGGAAGCAGGCTCCCCGCTGAGCAGAGAGCCCGATGTGGGGCTCGATCCCAGGACCCTGAGATCATGACCCGAGCCGAAGGCAGAGGCTTAACCCACTGAGCCACCCAGGTGCCCCATCTTTGGCCCTTTTTTTTAAGATTTTTTTCATTTATTTGACACAGAGAGATCACAAATATAGAGAGAGGGAGAGAGAGAGGAGGAAGCAGGCTCACTGCCTAGCAGAGAGCCCGATGTGGGACTCGATCCCAGTACCCTGAGATCATGACCCGAGCCGAAGGCAGAGGCTTAACCCACTGAGCCACCCAGGCAGCCCGGCCCCTTTTTTTTTAATTGGGAGGCTCACCTTCTTGGGATACCTAAGACTACTTCACACCATCATATTATCAAGAATATTAACCCTTTCCAAGGCAAGCAAATGATAAACAATATTTTCCTGTTTGTCATTAAGGTTTCTTAATAAGGAAGTTTTCTTGCATGCCATCTGACTGGGCTTTTCTTCAGCTTGAAAATACCAATAAGCATCTTCATGTTTCCTTCTAGCACTTACATATATATTCAGTAATTTATTGTATATAATATGATTTGGAATTTATATTGGTGTGCAAAGCAGATGATTGATTTAATTTCCCCTTAAGGAAACCCACCTAATTGAACTTCATATTCCGAACTTCATCAACCGTAACATCATGTGGGGGCACACTGGGTAACCTTTTTGATTCTTAAATCCATTGCCCATACAATACTTAAATCACCTTATGAGATTTTCCTGGATAAAAATTAAATGTGACAATTTCTCAGAAGGCATGTGTAGCTTGAAAAGCTCTAGGCAAGGCCAGGGTTTCCCTTCCCACAAGGAGCGTGGCAGGTTCCTCATCTCGTCACTGGTTGGGTAATTAATGAGGAGAATGCAAGTGGCAGGTGGATACTGTTCTTTTAAAAAAAAAACCCTTATAGTTCTGGCACTTTGATATCTTCCCCTTAATAGTTCAATCACTCTGGAATGATTTACTGAATAATAAATTCTTCCCTCATTTGCTTGAAATGTCATTCCTTTATGGACACTTAATTAATTTTTTAAAAAGATTTATTTATTTGACAGAGATCACAAGTAGGCAGAGAGGCAGGCAGAGAGAGAAGAAAGGAAGCAGGCTCCCTGCTGAGCAGAGAGCCCGATGTGGGGCTCAATCCCAGGACCCCGAGATCATGATCTGTGCCGAAGGCAGAGGCTTTAACCCACTGAGCCACCCAGGCTCCTCTATGGACATTTAATTTAGTGAGGCTTATTCTTACTGTCTTTCTCTTCTATGTCTCTAGTTTATTCTTACGTGTCTATTCGTAACCCAGCACTCTACTGGTTTGCAGTTCATAGCCTTGTCTTATTTGAATCTTGTTATTGGAAGAGCCTTCCTTCCCAGTATTTTTTTTCAGGCTCTTCCTCATGGTCTTGGTGTGATGAAGACAGGTGTGCCATTTGGGCTGTTGGTTCTAGTCTATGGCAAACCCATACTAGCCTCACAGCCGTCCAGTGTCAATTTTTTGGGTGTTGTTATAAATGTCCACAATTCAACCTCCCCATTGTCCATCAGACAGCTGAGGAAAGGTTAAGCCGGACATTATGGATAATACAAAATTTTGCGTTATAGGATAAAGTCTGCAGTTTCTTGCCACGCTGACCATCGGTCGGAATCCTGTATTTAGGAAACAAAGGGGCTCGACACCCAAGTTCACAGCAGCATTATTTGTAACCACCAACAGGTTGAAGCAACCCAAGAGCTCACCAGCTGATGAATGGACCAACAGAACACTTGCATACAGATATCCCCCCAGTGGACAACGGACTACTCCTCATCCATGTAAAGTTAAGAAATTCTGACACATGCCACAACATGGAGGAAACTTGAAGACGTAACCCAAGTGACAGAAGCCAGTCACAGAAAGCCAAGGACTATGTGACGCCCCTTCTGTGAAGTCCCTAAAGCAGTCACGCTCATAGCGACGGAAAGCAGCCTGGTGGTTGCCAGGGGCTGGGGGAGTGGGAGGGGGAGTTCCTGTGGACCGGGGATAGAGTTTCAGTTTTGCAAGATAAAAAGAGTTCCGGAGACGGACAGCGGTGATGACTGTACCACAGCGGGAATGTACTTTTACCACCACCGAACTGTACCATTTTTAAGAATGGTTCAGATGGGAAATTTCACGTTAAGGGTATTTCAGTATGATAAGCAAATAAAAATATAAAATAAGATACAATGAAGTAACAAGAAGGGGGTTCTAGTCAATTTTGAAGATCCACAGGAGCTCCAGATTCTTTGAGACCAAAAATAAATAAACAAACAAAACCCCACAAAGAAACCCCCCGCACAAAAACGCGTATGCCATGCACAGTTTAGGGAAACAGAGAAGCAGGAAATGGTGATGACTTATTTTAAAGGACTGAAAGACCAGGGAGACCAGGGAGGGGGAAGTTAAGAGGAGCCTGGTAACTGTAAGCATGTGTCTTCAGAGTTTCCCACACAGTGTTGCCAAGGGTCCAAGTGGTGCAGCCCTGACCTACAGCCTGGCTCCCCGCCAGCCTCCCCCTGGCACGGGCCGCTTCACCGATGAATGGCAGGGACCAGGTTATGGGCACCAAGGGGAATATGGACAAACAGCCCCCCAACCCCCACCGCTGTGCACTGCGCCCAACTTTGCTGGGGCTCTATTGTTGGAGGCCAAAGGTCAGCCTCCCGTGTTTCCAGAGGGCCTGGCACTGCTCAGCAGCCCGTCGGAAGCACACAAAAGCGTGGCTTGTCTCCTCTGGGCAAGATGGGAGAGGCCCCTGGGGCCAGCACTGACGGCTCCTGTCAACAGCCACACGAGGGCTCCGTTGCTGTGGCGGGGGGTGATCTGCCCAGTTCTCAGGCACGCCGACTGTCTCCACGAGAGACGGGCTTCTCCTAGGTCCTGAATAAGTGCCCTTCTAGCAGGCAGAGCAACTGTTTACTAGTTATTTTTGGTTTAGGTTAATCTGCTCTCTGTCACCCCCCCAACCCCCAACATGCTATAACTCTGTGTCCACCTCCCCCCACTCCCCCGCAACTGTAGGGGCTACAGGCAGAGGGGACTTTCTGGAGCACTTACAATTGCCCGCATGGTTCTGGAAGTCCATCGACATGTTGCTTACAAAACTGTCGTCCACAATGTCCTGCCACTTGATGCTGTCCACGTTGCAGAGGACAGGGTTGTTGCTGAAGCGCACGGCACCTTGGAGGATTTCTGTGCAGGGAAAGAACCTCAGTGACCACAGGGCCAGGTCTATAAACTCCCGCAAAGCATGCATGCATTTCTTTACATCTGGAGTTCTGCTAAAGCAGGACCCCCCCACAGAGCTCGGGTGGGGGCAGGGGTGGGGGAGGCAGCTGAACGATGAGGGGGTGGTAGTGTCACAGAGGAGTTAGGCTTTCCCCATGAAACTGGCCCTGGAGCACAAACCATCAGAATGCAGAAATATGGGAAGGAAGGAAGCTGTGTGGGGTAAAAGTGAATGGGGTACTCGGGACGGAGGGGTGTGGCAGACACGCACTGTGGCCAGCAAGGCCAGGAGAAGGGGATGATGCTGTGAGATCCTCAGTGGAAACGGTGGCAGGGGAGCGAAGGGGGGTGGGGAGAAGGCTCTCTAGGTACGGGGAGGAGAGGGCAGGCGCCAGGAATGCCACTGGCAGGAAAGACTATGATTGTTTCACAGGAAGAAATGACACAACACGGAAAACCGGGAATGATTAGAAAAAGGCAAGCGTGCGCGTAGGGAGAGCGCTGCCTCGACGCCAGCCGGCAGAAACGGTTACTGACCGACTTCTGTGCACAAACACCGCAGCTGGGGATGGGCAGGGGTGAACTGGATCTAGGAGCTGACGGGCCAGGGAAGCCCAAGGGGTCATGTGGCTGGCGAGCTCATGCCCCCCGGAGACCCCGCGGGACACAGGACACAGCCAGGTACTCTGCTGGTTTACTGAAACACACAATCTTAGCTAATCGTCACAACGGTCCCACCACACAGATAACGTCCAGCAACTCCTCAGGCAGGGAACAGACCTGCCTCAAGGACAAAGCACAGACGTGGAAAGAGAGGGTCCTCCCCAGGAGGAGCTCCGAGGCTGTCGAAGAGAATGACACTTCCCGTAGCATCATGTGGCCTGCGGAGGGGAGGGGACAGCAGGCTTTCTGAAGCCAGAAGACAGGAGCCAATGCGTGTCAGTGGGACAGGCGGGCGTTGTCTCTGGTGGACGGTGTAGAAAACCACAGAAGGAAGGCTGGGAGGTCCGGAAGGGCCAAACTGTGGGGCATTGGGTTTAAAGTCAGAGATGACAGCAGGACAATCAGGAGAGGACATCTGGTCAGGAGGCAGCCAGAGTCAAGAGGGTAAATCTCTAGTGGGAGGTCAGAACTGGAACCACAAAGTAGGGGCCTCAAGGCTGCTGTGACCCTCGTGAAGACAGAGAGGTGCCAAGAAGAGTGTACGATGGAAGGTCATGGTCGGGCCTTACAGAACACCTTCGGTCTGCCATGGTGAGAAGTAAAAAGGCAGCAAAGGTGCCGGACGATTTGGGTGCCCCTGACTGGGTAGCTCAGAAGAGAAAAGAGGCCATTGGCCTGGATGCTGTCATTCTTCTATTTTTACTTTCAGTACTTAATGATTTTATTCCTTGTGGTGGGCACTGAGTTAATTTTTAGTAACAGTACTTGATTAGTATGGGAAATTTCACATTAAATAGTTATTTGATAACAAGAAATCATGTGCATGCATACAACCCCATACCAAAGTGGAAAGAACACCAGCAAGGGGAATATGAACTCCTCAGTGCTTTTTCCATAGTAATTTCCTTAATCTTCCCCCCATTCCCAGGAAGTGTATAACCATTGTTACCCACATTTTTAAAGCAGAGGAAGCTGAAACACAGAGAGAATCCGCTCCAGGGGCATCTGGCTGGGGAGTGATGGAACCAGGCCTGGAACCCAGACAGTCTGGCTCCGGGGTCCACGCTCTTAACCGCACCTGCCCATCACCACGACAGAGCATGAGGCCAGATGGGCAGATTGAGGCATGCTGGACGCACATACCATTTTGCAAAATGTGTAAATAGCACAAATTAGTATCAGCATAAACGCGGACTATGTGCGTGGGTGCTGTGAGCACCTAACGTGCTGGGTGGAAAGTCTTAGGGCCATTTCATAGGATGGCTGAACCCAGGAGCCCGACTAGAGGGCTGTGCCAGCCGCTTTGGAGCCTGGGTCTGGACGCCTTGCCTTATTCCAGCGCTGCTATCTGCCAGGCTCCGACCACTCCTAGGACTCCCTCTGTTTTGCACCCTCTGCTGGCAACCCCCCCTTTCCTGGTGGGCCCACTTCCCATCACAACTGCATAGCACAGGGGAAGGGTAAAGACTCCAGCGGCCATTCCTGTTTTTTTTTTTTTTTTTTTTTTTTTAATGAATTTGGGACCTTAGGAGGATCACTTTGCCACCATTTCTCTATGTGTAAGACGGTGGCAGTGTGAACACCTGCGATAGAGGACGGGGCTGTGCCTGACGTTCCCGAAGTAACAGGACCGGCATTGGCACCGCACCCACCACACTGCGAGGGCACGCTTCCATTATCTTCACTTTTGTTTTTTAAATCAACCTCCTGTCTCTCCTACCCTCTTCCTTAGCTTCCACTCAGAGGACCCTCATGAGTGTCCCACTCATGGGAATTCAAACTCTGCAACACCGTCATTCTCTGTCCTTACCGTCAATGTCTCTGTCCTTAAGTCATGCTCTGTGTGACAGCATCACTCTGAAAGCAGCCTCAGATAGGGGAGGTTTTTAATGCATGTCCCTTATACCCGAGGTCCAGGTAACAGGACCGGCCGTTTACTCCCTCCCTAGGCACAGAGAGCCAAAAGCCCAGCCAAGGTCGTTTGGTCTCTGTTTCCAGGAACCACTGCCGTTTCTTAGTAACTCTCTGGGTATCTCCGCAGGGATACAGAGCAAGTGGTACCTGGCTTAAATCTTCCCTTCCCATCACTGACCGTCTTCTTTAACTTCCACCTACTGTCTTGGGCACGTAGCTAGCACGCGGAGCATCTGTACTGGACGGATACGAGACTTCTCTGAGTGGCATTCAGAAAGGTGACCGGTTCGCTGAGCACCTGCAGGCACAGTGTCCCCGCGCCCGGGGCCTCTCACCGTGTAAGTTTCTCAGGGGGAGCTCCTGCAGCCCGGTTTTGTTCGCGCCGTAGTTGGATAAGACGGACAAGGCGTGCGTGTTTTCATAGAGCACGTTTCCTCGGATGATCTGCAGGTTTTCCAAGGGAATCTTCTCCACGGTGTTCAGGGCGATGAGGACATAGCCGGCAACTTCCTGGATGGTCTGAGGAGACAGAACAGGACCACGTGTTTCTCTTGTGAGGAGTTCCAGAACGCAAGGTCAAACATGCATCCAGGAAGCCTAGGGCACCTGAGTGAACTACGCACCCAAGTGACCGACGGACATAAGGCAGGTAGAGGACTACAGTAGGGACGTGGGTGGGGGAGGGGTGACAGGATTTCCAATGACTCCTACACTTTTGTCCCTTGAGCCTGCTGGCAGGAATGAAGGGTGAAGTGAGTTATTCGGGAATGCTGCGTTCTCATTTCACATGGTTTCGGGACACTCAGAATAAAAGGAGAACGTTTTATTAATTCATTTTGTACCTGTCTTGCATGCTCTCCCATTAGAAAAAAAAATAAGAACCCAGAAGACCAATTCAGCTACAACCAAACTCTGAAGCCTTCAGAGCTGGGTCCTTTTGGTTCACTAGAGCCTGCTGTGAAATATTTGGGAGATGTGTGAAGTGGTGCAGTGGGAGTACCAAGGAAACAGGAAAAAGCTACAAAGGGGAACTTATTTTAAAGTTCCAATTAGGGGCACCTGGGTGGCTCAGTGGGTTAAAGCCTCTGCCTTCAGCTTAGGTCAGGATCTCAGGGTCCTAGGATCCAGCCCCGACTGGGCTCTTCTGCTCGGCAGGGACCCTGCTTCCTCCTCTCTCTGCCTGCCTCTCTGCCTACTTGTGATCTCTGTCTGCCAAATAAATAAATAAAATCTTAAAAAAAAATAAAGTTCCAATTAAAGAGCCAAGACAGCTAACGCAATGGTTAGACGTTTAGTATCAGGGTGTACGATGATGGTGGAACGCCAGGCCGGCCTGTTTCTCTGTATTATTTCATAGCTGTAACTTGACACTAGCTGGAGGAGTGGTTTTCTGATAAAACTTGCATCTGTAGCTCCCCAGGACTTGTAGTTGCCAGAGCAAAAGCAAATACACTGAGGTTATATTTCTTTTTATCATATTTGGGTAAGATGGTCAAATTGATGGAACTAACCTTTAAGAAGGAAAGGTCATAATTCTTTTGCATGTAGGTAATTTCCAGATTCCCAAGGACCACCTCACAGTTATTGAACATCCTCTGAAGGCTCAGAAAGTGGTCTTCAAAAGTGCCCAGCTGGGTGAGCCGGTTACTGGTGCCTTGGCAAACTGCAAAGAAAAGGGAAAAAAAAAAAAAAGATATCACATGAAACGCCAGGTAAAGTAGCAAAGGTAAAATAAAAGGGTCGCACATTTCAACTAACTTTGCGAGTTTCGGTGACTTGCAGTATTAATTCTGATAAAAGGTCACTCAAGACGAATGGGACAAGAAAATGTTTGTCTATATAAGGTACAGTTCATAATATATAATGTATATATATAATGCAGGGGGTCATTTTCAACTATTAAAAATTCAAGGGGAAATAGGGGGAATTCTATGAAAATCTTTAAGACAACACAGTCTTTTTTTTTTTTTTCCTTCAAAGATTTATTTATTTATTTCAGAAAGAGAAGGAGAGAACGTGAGCATGAGCACGTGCGGTGGAGGGAAAGAGAGTCTGAAGCAGAGCCTGACACACGGCTCCACTGCAAGGCCCTGAGGTCATAATCTAAGCCAAAACCAACAGTCAGAGGCTCAACCGACGGCACCATCCAAGTACCCCAAGACAAAACAGTCCTTTAAAGCTTTGGGAGACAAACAAAAAAATGTGTCATAAGGTATTTAAATAATATAATGACAACGTTGAGCTAATAACTATATAATGCACTTCTTACTTTACAAAAAAGATAGACTACCACATTACTGTGTGTCTGAAGGATATTTACAAACATAACATAGGCTGGCCAATATTTTTGGACTACAACGTCGTACAACTTAAAATCAGTGACAAGAGTGTCAATTAAAATCCAACTGGCTAGAGATTAAAAATATTCATCTATACTAATGCATCAAAGAATAAATCAAAGGACTAATTATATACCTAGAAAATAATGAAATGGAAACATACGTTTAAAAACACACTCAGCTACTAAGAAACCGACGGGTCCTTCTGTTTGTCCTCGTGGACCACAGGTGGAGGTGAAGTGCTTTGCATTTTTTGGCAGGACACAGCCTTGGCACACTTAACCCCCCAATGTTTTAACTTAATACAAGAAACAGTTGGAAGTAGGGGACGAAGTTAGCCTATGGAAATACACTTGACAGTCTATATTTAAAAGCAAAGGAGATTATAATAAAGTCATACTTACAAACCCAGCTCTTTTGAAAGACATGTTTAAGCAAGCATACCAAAACAAAGAGGTTGGGGCTTTTGAAGCAGGGAGCTTGTTAAGAGACTGCACTTTGAACCAAAATTACGGTAAGAGTGAAGAAATATGGCCTCTGGCTTTGGAGGTTAGGTTCAGAACCAGCCAGGTTCTGCCACATGTTTGCAAAGGCATGACTGCCATCAGCGGCCAGGTGGTTGAACGCCAAAACAAGGCCAAAGTCAATATACAGGTACTTTCCTCAGAAACACTTTCTAAATTTACATTTATATTTTATAGGCTTCCTTGTTCCCTCTTCATGGGAACTGCCCAGAAGAGCACCATCTGACCATCTGCCCTCTGCATTTTCGGGCCACGGCAGCAAGCCCAAGCTCAGACACCCCCTAATCAACCCGAAGCATTTATACCAACATTCAGTGTGAAGCAATCGCCACATCCTCTTTGACTCTACGGGGATTTCCCTCTTCTCCTCTTTTGTGGTCTCATTCAAATCTGGTGGTAGCGAGAACTCTCACATGGGAACTACAACAGTCCGACAATACCAAGCCCCTGTCTGCTCCAGGGGCAGAAGGGTTCCATAAGTCTCCCAACCACAACACTGGATGGAATGACCCAACATCTCTGGGCTGCTCTCACTCAGGGGTACGGGCTACTTCGACTGCAACCTCAATCTGGAACATCTGTACACAGCTGGCAGCAATGCGTGCAGATGGGGCCAGACTGATTTCCCAATTCCAAGGTCTTCAAAGATGCCACCACCAATGTAGGTACAGGGTTGTGACAATAACCCATGACCTTTCAGCTCGCACACGTTGAAACAAAAGCTCTTTTCCCAGCTGGCAGACTATGGTCTCTCCATTTCAGCCTAAAACTGACTGGCTGTCATCTCGGTGGCACAGTATTGGTCACACCCTTCATCCCAGCCAGGTGAACAGTGTCCTAGAACTTGGGGTTGGAGCACACCTCAGAAGAGTTTCTTCAGTATCCAGAGAAATGAAAACTGTAACAGTTGCTTTCATTTTAAATAATTTTTTTAAAGATTTTATTCATTTACTTGAGAGAGCTGGAGCATGAGCAGGGGGCAGGGGCAGAGGGAGAAGCAGACTCCCTGTTGAGCAGGGACCCGATGAGGAGCTCCATCCCAGGACTCTGAGCCCTAGGCAGATGGATTGGCCACCCAGGTACCCCCAGTAGCTTTCATTTTAAATGATACAAAGTATCAGCTTGTAAATTTCTCTCAGCTCAACCAAAGAATTTTTATTACTAAATCAATGACAAAGAAACTTTTTTCAGTAAAAAAGGAAAACATGCCCTTTAAGTTTAGCCTGTTACATAATCAAAAAGATTGTAGTTGCGCTTTCATTCATTCATTCGAAAGGTGCTAAATGAGCTCCTAAAATATTTATTTGATGAATACCTATCATGACCCTTCATTGTTTACAATTAGTATTCTACGTTCAGAAAAAGAGATGTTACATTTGGAAGATAACAGCAACATTACACATTATTGATGTGAGCATTAATTCAAAAAACATTTTGGGAAGCAAGTGCACAACCTGTGTGAACAACTAAATATGCTTTAGAAAACTTCATGCAAAATGTTCATTTTTTAAAATATGGCAAACAACTCCAACTGCCCTAAATGCTCATCTTGTCCAACACGTGCATTCTTGAGAACAAGAGAGCAGTTGGTACACTGTGTGACTCCATTTAAGGCAAATCCATCTTGAATTCTATTCCAGGATTAATTGCTAAAGTCTCAAAAGAAATGATTACAAAGCTGTTTCTTCTCAGGCTTTCTCCTGCCATCTGCCACAAAGGAGATGACCGTGTCTTAAAAGTCCAGAGTAAGGATCAGACTGATTTGACCGATGCCTCTTGATTCAACAAAATATCGGCTTCGATCCATATTTACACCAAAGGTCTCACAGCATGAATATAAAGTAATAGGAAGACTTAAATGTGAGACCACTGAATTAGTAAAATTATTTTTGAAAAAATCAGATTAACAAGTTAGGCAGGTTTAAGACAAAACTGCAATGGGCAAGAGCTTTTTAATTCATCCAGGAGAAAGCTTTCATCTCGCCCTTCCTCCGTACGTGACCCTGAATGACTTCTCTAAGCTCTCTACCGCGTGTTTTCCTCAAGCAGTAGACACGGTGAAAATAATACTGACCTTCCAGAATTCTTTTCAAGACTGAATAAACACAACAGCTTTCAACTTGCTTTTGTTAAAATTAGCTAGTGAGAAAGGTGACAGTAACACAAGACCCAACTGCACAGATGTTAGGGGACCTCTGTGGAACACATCTGCCCCATGGTATTATCTAAACTGAGAGTGTTGGGATCTGCAAACACCTTTCTTCAAATATTGGGCATTAAATAGAGCTACTTTGTCTGTAGACTAGTTACCAGAAAAGGAAAGAAAAAGGAACATATTCAATGATTTCATTAAAATATCCATTGAGGATTAGGGGTTGAAGCCATTGATTCAAAGAGAAACATGGTATCACTTTAGGGCTATTTGTTTGAAGACAAGACAATTAAGGTATATCACGGTCCATACAAGGTGCTAGTGATTTGCTTTTCCTGTTACAAATCTGAAGACAAATTCATCTTCTTTTTTTTTTTTTTTTAAAGATTTTTATTTATTTATTTGTTTGACAGAGATCACAAGTAGGCAGAGGGGCAGGCAGAGAGAGAGGAAGGGAAGCAAGCTCCCCGCTGAGCAGAGAGCCCCAACATGACAGAGGGCTCATTCCCAGGACCCTGAGATCCTGACTGGAGCCAAAGGCAGACATTTAACCGACTGAGCCACCCAGATGCCCTCGGGTGTTCTTTTCCTTAAGAGCCCCCCAATTTATCTGAACTGAAAATGAAGACATTCCGCCTCCTCTAAGTCTTAGAATACCCTTGATTTTATGGGGTAGGGCCTGTGGTTTTCCCGCCCTGTTATGGGGGTGTACACCTCTCTTTCCCCACAAGTCTGGGCAAATCCGTGTTGCTGATTAAGACACAACATTAAAACAAGTTTCTCCAGATTTTCCCAAAATCCACTTAGACACTTTTGAAATCACCTAGGAAAATTTATAATTGTTTTAATTTGTTGTTTTCTCAACTATGTATGGATATTTGACAAAGTAGCCGGGCTCTTGTAAATCTCTGCCCTTGGCCTCCTAAATTGTCTGTCCTTTTATCCTTGCCCCATTTTCCACAGAACACTTCATTTTGAAGCAGAAGGCATATCACACTCCTCGTCGGCGTGCATCATCCCCGTTCCCGGTGTAATCGGAACACAGTACAACAAGCTCCTTTCTCATCATCCCTACTTCTCTCGGTCTCTCCTTGTTCACTGTCCCAGCCACACTCCCCTAGTTCTCTCCAACTGGCCCAGTTCTCATTCACTTCAGGGCTGCCCCATCTGCTGTCCCATCTCCCATCTCCTTTCCCTCCAGATGTTTGCATCTTTATCTCCCTGTTATCACTGGGATTCCAACTCAACGGTCCTCCTTTCAGGAAAGCCTGTCCTGGAACCAGATTAGCTTAAGTTCCCACCATTAAATTCTATCATATCCCCTGCTCTCTTTACTTCCTAGTAAACTGATCACTACTTCGAACTATTATTTGCTTATGCAAATATATGTATTTATTTATTCATTCATCTATATGGTGGGGATGGTGGATTTTATTTTATTTAAAAAAAATTTTTTTAAAAAGATTCATTTATTTATCAAGGGGGCGTGGCTTGGCTCAATCCCAGAACCTGAGATCATGATCTTCCAGAATCAGAGATCATGATCTGAGCCCAAATCAAGAGCTGCTTAACTGACTGAGCTCCTCAGACCCCACCCCCAGAGGCCTATTCTGATTGATACATGTGTATCTCATTGGACTGACTGCTG